AATGATAATAAATGAATTAAGTGGATGCATGAAGGTGTACAGGATACTTCAAGCCATCATAGACTGTTTCAGGCAGGAGAATATGAAGGTGTAATTTCAAATACAGTTGGTACTGTCAGTTTTGCTTTCCACAATTTCAGCTATCCGTGGTCAACCACAATATAAAAATATTAAATGAACATTCTAGAAATAAACAATATGTTAAGTTTTAAGTTGCTGAATAATGCAATGAAATCTTAGGCTCTCTCACTTTGTCTTGCCTGGGACATGAATTGTCCTTTTGTCCTGCATATTCACACTGTAAATGTTACCCACCTTTCGTCACCTAGTAGCCATCCGGATTCTCAGACTGAAAACAGTATGTATAGGGTTCTGTTCTATTGTGTTTCACGTATCCCCTGGGGGTCTTAGAATGGATCCCCAATGGATAAAGAGAGACTATTTGTGTAATCTGGTAAAATGGATGAATTATTCATAAACAATGTGAGAACCAGCTATCATGTGCCAAGATGAATTATATATGGATTAAGGATTTAAATGTAAAAAAAATTATAAGGTCCCATACCAAAATATAGATTTACATTTAATAAAATAGTCAAGAAAGATTTTTTAAAAGCATAACATCAGAGCCTAAAGTAAAGGAAAAGAGTGGAAAATTCATCCCCATAAATATTAAAAACTAGTGGGTTGCAAAGAAATTCAAAAGGGAAATACTGGGAAAAATACCTGAAACATGACAGAGGGTTTCATTAACACATCATGGGCTTTTACATTTTAGAGAAAAATAACTGATACCTAAATAGTGAAAAGACCATAGGAAATGAACAAGTAATTCACAGAAAAAAGTTCAACTACATTTATCAGAGAAATGCAAATGAAATCAAGATTGCATTCTTCACCTATCAAATTGGCAGATTCAACTGTAGTTGGTACTTACCAAGCTCTTTATGGGTTAGCCACTATTCTAAGTTAAGAGTTACCACCACTCATACATATGTAAAGGCTAATGGAGTTGTAAATTTAACTTTTGAGGACTTTATTATATGTATGTGTATTAGTCTGTTCTCACACTGCTAATGAGGACATACAAAAGACTGGGTAATTTATAAAGGAAAAGAGGTTTAATGGACTCACTGTTCCACATGGCTGAGGAGACCTCACAATTGTGATAGAGGGCAAAGGGGAAGAAAGTCATGTCTTTCATGGTGGCAGGCAAGAGAGGTTGTGTAGGGGAACTCCCCTTTATAAAACCATCAGATCTCATGAAACGTATTCACACGAGAACAGCATGGGAAGACTCAGTCCTCTGATTCAATTACCTCCCACCAGGTCCCTCCCACAACACATGGGAATTATGGGAGCAACAATTCAAGATGAGATTTGGGTGGGGACACAGCCAAACCATATCCAGTATGTTATGGCCTTATCTAACAGTTGTGTTGTTTGTAAGCAGTTTGCCCTACAGTGTGTGGAAAGTACATCACAGTTGAGCTTTCGTTGTCCAACCGTTTGCTTACTCTGACTGATGCTTAGGTGTGAAATGATGGCAGTCATTTGGAGAACAGTAGCACTCCTAAAACGAATGAAATGTTCCCTTCAACTTGTGGAGTACAATCTTTCTATGACTCTGTGACAGTTACAGATCAGAAAATTAGACGTAATGGCTTTTGAAGCAAAAATCTCATTCTGAATAAATCTTCCATCTGTTCCAATAACATTTTAATTGTGCATCAAATATGGTACTTATTTTTAAAAACTGCCTAGCAGGGATAGTTTGTGTTACTGTGCCTGTATCCATGACTATGATAAGAAATGTAAGAAAAGGCCGGCGTGGTCGCTCACACCTGTAATCCCAGCACTTTGGGAGGCCGAGGTGGGTGGATCTCCAGAGGTCAGGAGTTCCAGACCAGCCTGGCCAACATGGAGAAACTCTGTCTCTCCAAAAATATAAAAACGAGCCATATGTGGTAGCACATGTCTGTAATCCCAACTACTCGGGAGGCTGAGGCAGGAGAATTGCTTGAACCCAGGAGGCAAAGGTTGCAGGGAGCCAAGATCATGCCACTGCACTCCAGCCTGGGTGATAGAGAGAGACTCTGTCTCAAAAAAAAGAAAAATAAATGTCAGAAAAGAGGTTGAGTCTTACTTTCATTTGTATTTCTCTCGCCGCCTAGCATAGTGCCTTTCACTCAGTTAGAATATACAGTAAATGTTCATTAAACTAACCATTATTTCCTTCTCTTTATGTCAACAAAATAATTCAGCTTAAACATCAGTTCACAATCCTGGGACAAAATCCTGAAGCAAAAAGACAGGATATATATGATTTGTAGACATTTCCCAAAAGTTTTTTGTTTTATTTTTTTAATTTTTTTAAATTGAGATGGAGTCTCACTCTGTATCCCAGGCTGGAGTGCAGTGACGTGATCTTGGCTCACTGCAGCCTCTGCCTCCCGGGTCCCAGTACAAGCAATTCTTCTACCTCAGCCTCCCAAGTGTCTGGGATTACAGGCACGAGGCACCATGCCCTGCTAATTTTTGTAATTTTTGGTAGAGACAGGGTTTCACCATGTTGGCCAGTCTGGTCTTGAACTCCTGACCTCGTGATCCGTCTGCCTCAGCCTCCCAAAGTGCTGGGATTACAGGCAAGAGCCACTGTGTCCGGCCTTCCCAAAAGTTTTAATGTTGGAATCTTTGTGTTTGACTCCCTACCATCTATTCATGGAAAACTTGTGCCAGTTATTGGTTTAGGAATGGGCACATGATATGAACCTAACCAGTGAAGCTTGAGGAAAGTCTGTAGACTTTTGGAAAGGATAGTGCAGTCATCTGCTGCATAATGATATTTTGGTCAACAATGGACGACATATACAGCACTGGTCCCATAATATTATAAGACTATATTTTTTCTGTACCTTTTCTATATACATATATTTTTAGATATACAAATATTGACTGTTGTGTTACAGTTGCTACAGTATTTAGTAGAGTAACATGCTGTACGGGTTTGTAGCTTGGGAGCAATAAGCTGTATCATACAGCCTAGGCATGCTGTAGGCTATACCATCTAGGTTTGTGCAAGTACACTATGATGTTCACATGACAAAATCGCCACAGGATTGCTCAGAAGGAGTCATGTGACACATGACTATTTCTCATTCCTAGAAAGGAAGCACATGACGAGATGATTATTGTATCAAAGAGCCTAGGTGTGTTGTAGGCTATACCATCTAGGTTTGTGTAAATATACTATGATGTTCACATGACAACATCGCCTAATGTTGCATTGTTCAGAAGGAGTCATGTGACACATGACTGTATTTCTCATTCCTAGAAAGGAGGCACATGACAAAATGATTCCTTTCTTTTAGAAGAAAGGACAAGATATCTTAGCGAGGCAGGAAATTTTCCCTAACTGCTTCGTGGGTGGGAACTGGAATGCACAGTGCTAGAACTAGCCAGTGCTTTAGTGCCAAAAGGGGCAGACTCCACTTGCTGGGTCCTGCTATGTTCCCCTCGTAGGAAGGGGAGTGTATGTTAGTGAGTGCAGGAGCCTGATGAATGCTTTAGGGCACTGGCAGGAGCAAAACTCCATGCGGCCTCATGGCATCATCTAGGGGACTGCCTACAACCCCTGAAACCCCAGAAAGCATTACAGTCCATGCTCTTTAAGCTTTGCCATCCGTAGATGGCTTAAGCGTTAACAGTGGAGGGTCAGTGTGACAGCCTTTTGCACCTGCACCCGAATTCTTGTCCAGCATCCAGAAGGAATGAGGTGGCATGAAAATTGGAGAAGATAAATGCAAGGGGTTTTATTGCCGATTAAAGTGGCTCTCAGTGGGAAGGGGAGCTGGAAAGGGGATGGAATGGGAAGATAATCTTCCCCCAGAGTCCAGCCATTCCTGGCCTGGCTGGACTCCTCTTTGAAGCAACACATCAAGCTGTCCCTCTGAAGTCAAGCTGCTTCTCTCCAAATCCAACCATAGTCTTGGATGGCCAGCTGCTGCTCCTCTTCTCCTCTCTATTGGCAGAGGCTCGGGTTTTTATGGGCATAGGATAGGTGTAGAATGGACCATGGGTGGTTTTGGAAAAGGCAGCATTTGAGCAGGAAAATAGGAATGCATGTTCTCATTTTGGGCTGTGGTTCCAGGGTTATGGGCGGAGCCCTCGCTGGGGACCCATGATCTTCAAGCCCAAAATTTTCCTGTATCTTATCCCTATCATTATGATAGGATATGATTCCTGGAACTTCTTTCTTGTGTCCATGAATGGAGCCAGCTCTTGAGGGTAAAGTGAGCACACCACAGATAGCAGAGAGGATCAAAGAACATTATTGAGTCACCGCATCAAATAACCTGTATACTGCACTATTGCTGGGCTCCGTTTTTGGTGGCAGAATAAATTTCCTCTTTTTTTTTTAGAAAAAAGGCTGGGCATGGTGGCTCACACCTATAATCCCAGCACTTTGGGAGGCTGAGGTGGGCGGGTCACCTGAGGTCAGGAGTTCAAGACCAGCATGGCCAACATGGTGAAACTCCATCTCTACTAAAAATACAAAAATTAGCCGGACACAATGGCACACGCCCATAATCCCAGCTACTTGGGAGGCTGAGGCACAAGAATAGCTTGAACCCAGAAGATGGAGTTTGCAGTGAGCTGAGATTGCCCCACTGCACCCAAGCCTGGGTGACAGAGTGAGACTCCATCTCAAAAAAAAAAAAAAAGGCTATCACCTTATGAGATATGCGAATATTCCCTTCACAGCTGAGAAAATTGGCATAGAGATACTAAGTGCATAACTTATAATACACAATGGTGGCAAAGATTTGGGGAAATTGTTGGTGGAATTGTTGATTCGGGAATTCCACTTCCAGGTATTTGTCCTAATTACATAAGTATAGCTTTGGTAATAAATTTTATATAAGATTTATTGCAACATTTAAAATAGCAAAAAGCAAATCTAAATGTCCAACAATAGAGAACATGTTGAATTAAAGTCATTGAAATATGCAGAATTGTGTTTATTGATTAACATAGATGCTTATGATATATTGTTAATTGAAAAATCAGGTAACAAAGTAATATACAGTATTATGTTAACTATGTAAAAAGTATAGATATTCATAGAAAAAGTTTGGAACAATCTCAAATGTATCTGTAGGTTATTTCTGTTTGGAGATAATCAAATAGATTTTTGGGTTGACTCAACAAATTTTGGTTGAGTCAATCTTTCCTATTTTATAAATTGTTTTACATAATTGGGTACTTAATCATTTAAAAAAATCTCAGGCATTATTTGTATGATAGTAATAATAATTTAATCCCCCTTATCTCTCATGTCTCATCTCTTATCCATCATCCCTCATATCCTACTCTCAGCCCAGCTTTATTTTCTTGGAGGGCAGGTATGGGGAACCCAATTTGGTTCCTTACCTCTAGCCAATTCTACAAAAGCTTTTACAGATAATGTCCGTTTGCTTTTTTTTTTTTTTAGTTTAACCAATACTTAATATGTGCCTGCAGCTTACTACCCAGGCCCTGATTTAGGTATTAGGATTAAAAACTATCTCAACTTGATTAAAACCACTAGATTCATTGCTTGAAAACCTGTTCTGCTACTTAATAGCTGTTTGATTTGAGCAGGTTACTTAACCTTTCCATTCGAAAGCAAACATTTATTGAGCTCCTATTACATATTAGGACTGGAGATACAGTTTTAAACAAAACAAGTACCTGTTCATGAAACCTCCATTCTAATGGGAAAAGATCATTGATTAATATACAACAGGTAGTGGTAAGTGCTATGAAAATAATGTGGAATAAAAAGAAGAAAGAATGACAGCAAATGGGGTATGAATGTGAGGGCATATGGCCTATTTTAGAAAGCATAGTCAGGGAATGTGTCTCTAGTCAGATATTTGAGGAGAGACAGTAGGAAGTGAGCCAGCCAGCCATGATATTGTGCATGGGCAAGAGTTGCAGGAGGCAGTGGTGTGCTGGTGCTGGCTTGTATTTGTCCTGATGGCATGCATCTCTTCCCAAACTCTGTGTTTAGTGAAGGCAAATTAGTAGCTCAAAAATAGCCTTGATGAAAATATTTACACACAGATACCTGCAAATGCTACAAATCAGGGCTTCCCCCCCACCCCACCCTCTGAGAACTACTTGAATATTTAATAATATTAATATTTTACTTGAATAGTAAATAAAATATTCAATACTTAAATATTTTACCAGCACACTCCTGGGAAGAGGAACAGTAAGGGCAGAGACCCCGAGGCAGGAGCAGGCTTCTTCTGTTGAGGAAGTCAAGGCAGTCAGGATGGTGGAACAGAATGAGAGGGAAATTGACAGCAGATGAGGTCACAGGTAGCCAGGAGCAAGATTGGTAGGCCATGTTAAATACACTGGACTTTGGTCTAAATGAATTGGGGACCATTGACAGGTTTTAAACAGAGGAGTGACACCATGTGACTTAAGCTTTGAACAGGACTACACAAGAGAGGAATCCAGAAGACCAGTTGGGAGACTTGAACAAAATGATAGGAAAGAGGTAACAGGCTGGGCACAGTCGCTCATGCATGGAATCCCAGCACTTTGGGAGACCAAGGCAGGTGAATCACTTGAGGTCAGGAGTTTGAGACGCGCCTGGCCAACATGGTGAAACTCCGTCTCTACTTAGCCAGGCGTCGTGGTACACACATGTAATCCCAGCTACTTGGAAAGCTAAGACATGAGAATTGCTTGAACCCAAGAGGTGGAGGTTGCAGTGAGCCAAGACTGCACCACTGCACTGCAGCCTAGGCAACAAGAGCAAAACTCCATCTCAAAAAAAAAGAGGTAAGATGGCTTAGGGGGAGAGGTAGTAAGAGAAGCACCTCAACATCTTCATTTTTTCAGACATTGTGAAAATTAAACAGCATTTAAAACATGCTTAGCCTAAGGTCTTGCACATGGGAGGCCCTCAATAAATGGTAGCTGTCGTGTTATTGACACAAGGTCCATCCTAGAGTGGGGGAAGTGTTGCTCATATCTAGTTAGGAAGGCAAGTAATTTTAGTACTAAGTGATAAGTGCTATGTTTGAGACAAGTGTGAGCGTTGAGGAGAGACACTTAGTCCAGCTAGGGGTAGGAAAGGCCAGGAAGGGTGTTAGGACAAAAAGGGGACAGCTTTAGCAAAGGCATGGGGATGCGGAATTAGAAGGAAAATGGAAATGCTTAAAGTGTCCACACCTCCCAACTCACCTGATAATAAGATCACAGCTTCATCCTTTAGCTTAGCAAAATAATCTGTGATCTGAAGCAAGAGTGATGATTTTATTACTCTGTGTGTTATTAAATCACCCAGCAGGCTGGGGATCGTGATGTTCCAATTCCAGTTCACTTGGTAACTTTATGTATCACACTGAGCCTTTGATTCTGATCAGCCAGATATAAAAACATAAGCTGGTACGAAATGTTTAGAACTTGCTATGGAGAAAGGAGTTCTTAATCTGGGGCCCCAGCATTGCCTTTGCGAGGTCTGTGAACCCATTGAAGATATTTGCAGAATTCTGTGTGTGCACATGAATTTGGGGATCGAAGTGGGACGTAAAGAGTCCATAGCTTTTATCAGATTCTCAAAGAGTTTTGCAGCCCAGAGAGTATTTTAAACGCTGCTACTGAGATGAATATTAGAAGGTAAAGTAAAATCAGTCTAGAAGAACAGGCATGCTTTTGTCTGTCACTCCATCTATCATTAAAATAATTTGATTAAATCATATTCTAAATCACATGAAATTAGTTAAAACATTTCACTTCAAAGTGATTGCTTATAAAATGGCTTTTGTCACTTTTATTTAAATATGAACTGTCATCTTGGGCCCCGTGAATATTCATTCCAACTTAGAATTTCAGCTGTGCCGAACTCCGGGATGGTAAATGAGCTATAGTATAATAAAAAGTGCTGCCAGGCCAAATTCGCTCTATTTGTCGTGCTGGAATCAAACTTGCTATTTTTCCCTTTGAAAATGTTCCCTGCCTCTGATTTTGCTGTTTTATTTTTTATTGATTCTCTGCAATCCCCTCATGTTATACTGCTAAGTCTCCAAAATGACAAATATTCCCTAAGGGCATCTTCAAAGCCAAAGAAAAAGGAATGTCAACTGAAATTTTATTTTTAAAGGAGGATTGATAGAATGGCATTGCTCTGGCTATCTTCTGGAAACTCCTGTGATTCAGAAATTTGCCTTCTTCTGGTCACACATAGATGGTGAAAATGTACTCACCTGACTAATTCTGTCTCCCAACAGGAAATGGGCTGTTAATAGTTTCTGTTTCTTCAACGCTATGATCCAAACGCCCTGTTAAGTGCATTATGTGTATTATCTCACTGAATCCTTGCAGCAACTACTGAGATCGAGATTTGATTCTCATTTTATACTCAACCTAGGCGCTGAGATACTAGATTACTATCTTGCCCAAGATCACATAGCCAATGAGCACCAGAACCAATAGGTGGAAAAATGGAAGGTAAAATGTCCCATGAAGGACAAGCAAGCTGCCCAAAGAAAAGCACCCCTTTTCCTTGTGCCATTGCCATTTTTCATTACATGGCATTTTTCAGTGCTGCTGTATCAGGCAGTGTGTCGGAACAATGGATGAGAAAAATAGTTTAGGAATTAATGATTGAAGAGGATTGGGGGAAATGAATTCATCTAGTTAATTAAACTATCTCAATATCTTTTTAAAATAATGACAGAGGAAAACAGTTAAATTTGAGTACCTACCATGAGCAAAGCATTAATGTGAGATGCTTTACTTATATTATTGCAAGAATTCTCCTAAAATAAGGGTCCTGAGGAAGGCATTACTATCCCTGTTTTTATTTTGTTTTGTTTTGTTTTGTTTTTTTGAGTCGGAGTTTCGCTCTTGTTACCCAGGCTGGAGTGCAATGGCGCAATCTTGGCTCACCGCAAGCCGCCTTCTGGGTTCAGGCAATTCTCCTGCCTCAGCCTCCTGAGTAGCTGGGATTACAGGCACACACCACCATGCCCAACTAATTTTTTGTATTTTTAGTAGAGACGGGGTTTCACTATGTTGACCAGGATGGTCTCGATCTCTTGACCTTGTGATCCACCCACCTCGGCTTCCCAAAGTGCTGGGATTACAGGTGTGAGCCACCGCGCCCGGCCACTATCCCTGTTTTACACATAGGGAAGTGGAGGCTCAGAGGAGTTGCAAGAGTTTCCCAGAATCACATAGATACTAAGATGGTATGAGACGAACCAGGATCAGCCTTCAAGGCCTATTTACTTTCTACTATATTATACATAAAATTCACTTCAAAAGCTATTTACTAAAATTTAAACCATGTGGGGGCCAACCATCATGTCATTAAATTCTGTATACTCCTCAGAACAGAACGCCTTGTACCTAGTAGCTGCTCAAAACATGTTGATCACCCCTCACAGTGGGTTAAAAAATAGAACATCAAAGACACAAAGATGTATTTTTTTCCAAATAATAAAAAAGAACTACCTTCACATTCCTTACAGGTTATACTGTTCCTTAGAAGCAGACTTATAGAAAATCTGTTTAATAATCCCCTTATGTATGGTTCAGAGGTTAAAAACCTGTACCTATAATACAAAGTTTCCAATAAATGCACCTTGTGTATTATAACTGCATGGTACTGACATCTTCAAGATGGAAACCATGAATAGGTTTGTCTAGGTAGGGGAAAAGCCGCTTGGTTTTTTTTTTTTTTTTTTGAGACAGAGTGTTGCTCCTGTTACCCAGGCTGGAGTGCAATGGTGCGATCTCGGCTCACCGCAACCTCTGCCTCCTGGGTTCAGGCAATTCTCCTTCCTCAGCCTCCTCAGTAGCTGGGATTACAGGCATGCGCCACCATGCCCAGCTAATTTTTTGTATTTTTAGTAGAGACGAGGTTTCACCATGTTGACCAGGATGGTCTCGATCTCTTGACCTAGTGATCCACCTGCCTCAGCCTCCCAAAGTGCTGGGATTACAGGCGTGAGCCACCGCGCCCGGCCCGCAGCTTGATTTTTTTAGAAATATGTATGATATACAGTATAGTCAAATCCCAAGAACTGCAAATCATTGGACTAGTGTATTAGAAAATGCTCAGTCGCGAGTGTCAGTGCTTTGACATGGCCTGACCCTCATCATGGTCCATCTGTGTATTTTTTGGTTTCTGGCTGACACCTCCTGCCTCAGCACACCTAGGCTTCTTAAGAGTGTCCAGAGCTGAAAAGGGCTGTCTGTGAAGGCTTTCCTGATGATGGTGTTGCTCTAATATTCCAGCGTCACCGTCTTGGTTTTGAGATATTCATTTAGAGCTTCCTCACCTAGGGAAGAGAAAAGTAGTTGATGGACCACGTTCAAAGGCAGATGTGATGTCTTCAGACCTTCAGACATAGGTGTACACAGGCGTATAGGTCACTAAGCAAATGAAATGTGGCCTAAGCCAGTGCTGCTCACACTTTAAAGTTCGTACTAACCATCTGAAGACTGGGTTAAGCTGCAGATCCTGATCTGATTAAGTCTGGTGTGGGCCCAGAAGTTATGTGTTTCTCACCATCCCTGATGATGTTGATGCTAGTGGTCCATGGACCACTCTTGGAATAATAACAGCCCAGATCGGCTACCAGGCCTTCTAAGGAGTGGAGAGTGTTAGCTGATCAGCTGCAAACCAAAACCCCTCTCTTTTATTTCCCTACTTGATGACAGACTCTGCCTTTTTCTCCATTTAAGCTAAACAGAAGTAACCAGGATACTGTCTTCTAGATTATATTAAAGCAGAACTGAGCACAGAAAAGTTTGACATCATATGGTTCAATCTTATTTTAGATAAGGAAAATTCAGTTTATATTGTTTGTTAGAAACACAGGGGAACCTGTCTAGGCAAAAATAAATAGGCTTGCCTTTCTTTGACTCTTTCTATTTTGAGCCTGTACAATCATCAATCTCTATGGCAGTTAAAGGGCAGTGGGTACCATGGAGAAACTAGTGAGTGTGTGATGCTGGAAGCTGAGGTAAAACAAGAGCTGTCAACTTTGTCCCCACATTAGAATCACTCAGGGAGCTTTGAAGACTTCTGACCCCAGGTCACACCCCAGACCAATTAGATCAGAATCTCTGTATTTTTGAAGCTTCCAGGTGGTTTGAATCCACCGTGCAGCTAAAGTTGACAACCACTGAGCTAAGGGGTTTTAAAAATGGGGTAGGAAGCCGGGCGCGGTGGCTCACACCTGCAATCCCAGCACTTTGGGAGGCCAAGGTGGGTGGATTACCTCAGGTTGGCAGTTCGAGACCACGCTTACCAATGTAGAGAAACCCCATCTCTACTAAAAATACAAAAAATTAGCCAGGCATGGTGGCACATGCCTGTAATCCCAGCTACTCAGGAGGCTGAGGCAGGAGATCACTTGAACCTGGGAGGTGGAGGTTGCCGTGAGCCGAGATCGCGCCATTGCACTGCAACCTGGGCAATGAAAGCAAAACTCCATCCCAAAAAAAAGACAGTTGGGGGAGGAAAAAAATTAGGAAAACTGTGGTATTTTATAGTACAACAGACCTGAAACTGATCGAATACTCTCTTAAAAGGCGAAACAGGGATGCCTCACTTTCTAATAATAAGTTCCCTAAGAAAGTCTACCACTGTGATTTGGATTCAGGCATAAAAACCAGATTAAAGACATGGAAAAGGGGGTGGAAAAAAGCCCTTACCTTCACCCAGTGGAATTTAAAATGAGAACTACTTTTACTGCTGCAAATACATTGCCAAAGTCATTAGGGAAAAAAAAATGTAAAAAAAAAAATACTCCGAATGAACTAAACTTATATTTGCAGACTGTAATTTCAGTAAATCACAAACAACATGCCAGACTGAGGGGAATAAGAGATGAGCTCCTCAGCCAGGCTGCTTGGCTTTGAACTCTCTCTGCCAGTGCCTGTCTGGCTCTGTGACTTGAGGCAACTCACTCAGCCTCTCTGAGCCCCATTTTCCTGTTCTGTGCAATAAGATAATAATAGTACCTGTCCCTCTGAGCTCATGTGAGAATTGCTTTTGCTTATACAGGTTAAGTAGAATGGGGCCTGGCATGTGTTTAGCATGGAAAGTAACTATTGCTTGAAAGGTGTTAGTGTCACTGCTCGCGGTGAATTACATTTTGGGCTTTTTACAAACTCTAAGCCTTACTGCTCAGACTCCCACAAAACCCTGCCAATTGCAGGGTTTTTTCAGTGTTGACTCTGAAAGCCTGCCAAGGAGCTCCAAGACAGGATTTATTCTTGGAAGCTGCTGGTTATTACTCTCCACCCTTTTGCCTGTCTTGGTTCCATTTAGTCTCGTGAAAGCTAACCCAAGTTCATGCCGATTGTCAAATTAAACACCAAACATATTTCAGCTACAGTATATTTTTGCAATTTCTTTTTCCTTTCAAACATGAATCATTTGAAAAGAAAACTTCCCACACAATGTGTGTACTTGTCTGTATGTATGGCAGGTTCAATAGGAATGTTTAATATTTTTAAAAACCAGTGCTTTTGTAAACCTAGATCCAATCGCCGTGTAGGAAATGCCCCTCAAAACCATATACAAGTCATGAAACAGAGCAGATGTTTCTGGGATGTGACAACAAAGGGAATGTGAGGTAGAAAAGTAAAGCCGTACCTAAGTCTTTTCCAAAGCCAGACTGCTTAACTCCGCCAAATGGGGCCGCCACATCTGTCTTGTTGTATGTGTTAATAAACACAGTTCCTGCTTCTAGTTTTTCACTCGCATACATAGCTTTGTTTATGTCTCTTGTAAAAACCCCTGAGGCCAAACCATACTCTGTATTATTTGCTCGCTGCAACACTCCATCGATGTCCCTATGTTTTTAGGAAGACATAAAACTTAATTAAAAGTAAAGCAAAAGACTCATTTTGTGTTCTGAAAGTTTTCCCATCTATGCTAGAAAGAGGAAAACATTACTGCCATCTGCTTAAATTTATTTTTATTTTTGTTTTTGTTTTTAGAGAGCAGGTATTGCTCTGTCACCTAGGCTGCAGTGCAGTGGCACAATCATAGCTCACCGCAGCCTCCATCTCCTGGGGCTCCAGTGATCCTCCCACCTCAGCCGCCCAGGTAGCAGGGACTATAGGGACGTGCCACCATGCCCACCTACTTTAAAAAAAATGTTTCTAGAGACAGGGTCTCCCTGTTTTGCCCGGGCTGATCTCACACTCCTGGCCTCAGGCTATCCCCCAGCCATGGCCTTGCCAAGTGTTGGGATTACAGGCATGAGTCACTGCGTCCAGCCTGATTAAACTGTTTTTTTAAGACAAGCAGCCTGATTGTGATTATACTGATTACATTTTTATAAATGAAAAATTTCAGGGTTACACTAAAAGACAGTCCCAAAGAAATATTACAAGTCTAGTATCACATTTTTCATATATGTCATGCAACACTTTTTAAAATCCGACCCAGAGTCATATTCAGTCTTCTTCAATGGTTCTCATTCATGGTCTCCCTACTTCCTCCCCTCTCCCATGGGCCCCACTTCTACATGGAGTTCTAGAGCATCCTCCCTGTTTCCTTCCATCTCTTCAGACTTTGCACTCAAGGTTCAAGCCTCCTTAGATGGAGGCTTGAAGCCATTTCAGATCCCACCAGGGTCACTGTCAAGGTGGCAGAGTAGGGTAGTTCTGTGAGAGGGCTCTGTAGCCAGACTGCCTGGTAACCTTGGGTAAATGACTTCATCTCCCCATGCCTTCATTTATTATTGTGAAAAATGGAAGTAATAGTAAAAGGACCTGTCTACTTGTCATGAGGATGAAATGAACAAATCATGCCTGGAACACAATAAGTATTCAATAAAAGCCAGCTATCAACAGGTAGCACATATTTTTCTAAGTAGAACCAATTATATAGTGCTGGCTTAACTCCTCCTGTACGTAGTGGTTTGCCCTCCATAAATTAGAAGATGAAAGCTCCCCGAGGGCAGGGATAACGTCTCTTGTATCTGTTTATACTGTACTGTTGCATCATCAAATGAGAGTGAATCGGACTACTTGTGCTTATTCCACAAAATAGGTCCCGTGATTTCCCTGCTTTTGACTTAGTTCGTATACACATCCAAGTAGGTGAAGACAGGAACCTGTTCTTTTCTCAGTTCTAATGTGCCTGTCATAGTTTATGTCACCTTCTTCTAGTGTGATCCTAATGCTTAAAAACACACACATTTTCTACAACATGGCCAGCAAATACAAGCCAGGTTTTTGTTTTTCTTTTGCTTTGTTTTTTGAGATGGAGTCTCACTCTGTCACCCAGGCTGGAGTGCAGTGGTGCAATCTCAGCTCACTGCAACCTTCACCTTCCAGGTTCAAGCGATTCTCCTGCCTCAGCCTCCCAAGTAGCTGGGATTACAGGTACATGCCACCACACCCAGCTAATTTTTGTGTTTTTAGTAGACACGGGGTTTCACTATGTTGGCCAGGCTGGTCTTGAACTCCTGATCTCAAGTGATCCGCCCACCTTGGCCTCCCAAAGTTCTGGGATTATAGGCGTGAGCTACTGTGCTTGGCCAAGCCAGGTATTTCATCTGGTGCTCCAGCAAAGACACAGAATCTGTTCCAAAACTGGAGGGAAAATTTGTGCTGAATTTATTGAGAGACAGCACAGATTTCAATGTAGTGCCTTATGAAGGGATTTTTCAAAGGCATCTTGACTATCCAAAATTTTAATTGCACAAGAAATTCTTCTTGCACAAGAAATCTGGAACCTAACTTGGAGTGAACTTGGACTCTGCTAAAATTCTAACACTTCTTGATGCATTGCACATAGTAGGGACCCAAATATTTGTAGAATGGACTACAGGGAGAAAGATGGTTTTATGCTATTTCTTGTTGAGGACTATCAAGAAACAGCGTAGCTCCATTGCACATTGTTTATGTCCACAGGAATGACAAGCATATATTGATTCCAGCAGCAAAAGGAAACACTTTGCTTTTTAATATCAGAATGACCTAAGGAGGTGGACATTGTTACCAAACGATCCTCTGTATTATTTGCTCACTGCAACACTCTAACGATATCCTTATGTTTATAGGAATACATAAAACTTCATTAAATATAAAGCAAAAGACTCATTTTACGTTCTGAAAATTTTCCATCTATGCTAAAAACAGGAAAACATTACTGCCATCTGCTTAATTTTTTTCTTTCGTTCTTTTTTTTTTTTTTTTTTTTTTGAGACCAGGTATTGCCCTGTCACCTAGGCTGCAGTGCAATGGCACAATCATAGCTCACTGCAGCCTCCATCTCCTTGGGTTTAAGTGGTCCTGCCACCTCAGCCTCCCAGGTAGCTGGGACTACAGGCACGTGCCACCATACCTAGCTAATTAAAAAATGTTTTGTAGAGACAGGGTCTCCCTGTGTTGCCCAGGCTGATCTCAAACTCCTGGCCTCAAGCTATCCTCCCACAGTGGCCTTGCAAAGTGTTGGGATTACAGGTGTGAGGTGCAGTGGTTAAGTAATTGGCCCAAGCTCACAGAGGTAGTGAGGGGAGGAGGCAGAGTTTGTCCTCTGACCCGCTGCACCATCCCACTGCCTCTGACCCTCTGTGGACTAACTGTGCATCTCTTTGTCTGTCTCCCCTATTAGATAGAAAACTCCTTAAGGACAGGGGCTTTGACTTGTCTACGTTACAGTAGATTCCCTTACAATTTCTAATGTCTGCACATTTAACACCAAGACTATCCCATGGGAGAATGTATAATGAGAAACGGGATAGCAGGCATCCTTGGATGGATGTATCGAAAGGTTACTTACTAAGCCTTATAGTCCCCTAAAATCTTTTATATTTTATTTGTCAAAGACCAAGAAAGTCCATTCTGTTTTTAAGTTCTCATTGGCTGAAATAAATCTAAAGCCATTCTGAAGATTTTGGGCAATATACCATGAGACCCCACTCTCTTAAGTATTGTTTTATGAGCTCAGCTACCACTTGGCTGTCTTCGATAAGCTGAACTCTTTGCAAAGTTTCATGTAGTATCACAAACCAGCATGTCATTTACAGTTGATTATATGATGATTATGAACATGTCTATGAAAAGTTGAGTATCAAGCTTTGGGGAGCAGTATCCCCTGTTACAGCAGCACTCTTTCTTTGGGGAGATATGATTTCACAGACGCCACCTACCCTAGGAATGTAAATGTGAAAATTGGTTTTGTTATTTCTCAGTTATTAGCTTTGTTCCACAGACATCTCAAATGTCGAGTGCAGAAAAACTAAAATTGAATCAACTAAAAGCCCAATGTAGGCCATTAATTGAAGCTGAGAAGCAAAAATACGCTATGATCTATGATGGCTAGCAAAAGCATAACTTCTAATTATTTAATTAAGTTAATTATTCTTATGGTAGAAAATTACATGTTCATTAATTTTATGCTCTGTATACAGCACAGTGGCAGAGGGGAAAAATGAGTTATCTAGTCAAAACCTAAGTTAAATTGCATTTGAAGAACCTACCCATTTTGGAATTTGGAAATGACCATAATAGGCCCAAAGGATTCTTCTTTGGCAAGGTACATGTGGTCTTCCACATCTGTGAACACAGTTGGTTCCATGAAAAAGCCTTTTTGGAGAAAACAAAGAAAAAAATGTCAACTATAGGTTAAGTCATTTTCGATTAATAGTCCTCTCACTTCATTACATTGTAATTTTTTCTTTTCCTCTGGCTTAGTAAAACCAAGAAGAATTTCATTTCTCTGTTTGGTGTTGGCATGCCCAGGTTCCTTTTTAATGTCTTTACTATGAAATGTGAAACCTATGTAAAAGTAGAGAAAACAGTATAATGAATGGTACAATAAGTATCCATATTTTGCTGTATTTATCTTTTCCTTGTTGAAATATTTTAGAGCAAATTCCAGATATCATAATCTTAACACCTAAGTATTTCAGTACAAATCTGTAAAAACATAAGGATATTTTCTTATATAACCACTATGTAGTGTCATGCTTAACAAAATCAGTAATTACTCTTGATTCCAAGTTTATATTTTATTTTCCTTAGTGTCTAGAAATAAGCTTTTTCACAGTTGGTTTGTCTGATTGAGGATTCAAATTCTTCTACACATTGTATTTGGTGTTTAGATCTAGCTCTTAAGGATCTTTTACTCTAAAACATTTCTCCATTTTGTCCTTTCTTTATTTTTTATTCCATTGTCGTGTTAAAGAGACTGGCTCAGTTGTTCTACACATTCCCTTTCTTTCTGGATTTATCATTGCTTCCTTTGGGTGATTTTTGTTTCTCTATCTCATATTTCTTTTTTTTTTTCCAATGATTTTTACTGTGTTAAATACACATCAAATTTACCATCTTAACCATCTTTAATTGTACGGCTCAGTGTTGTGAAATTCACAATGTGCAACCTTCACCACCATCCATTTTCAAAACGATTTTCAGCTTATAAAACTGAAACTCTATACCCACTAAAAATAACTTCCTGTTCCTTCCCTGCTTCCTATTGTTGTTCTTATGAAAATAAAGGTTGACCTAAAGGTATCATTTGACTCAGCTTAAGCTTTTTTGGCAGGAACATTTCATAGGTATACTGTGTATTACACGTTTTATTCCATCAGGAGACACATTATCCAGTTGTCCCTCCTTGTTTTGTTTGAGGCAGAGTCTCACTCTGTTGCCCAGGCTGAAGTGTAGTGGCTTGATCTCAGCTCACTGCAATCTCCTCAGCTCACTTTAACCTGTCTCCCAGGTTAAAGTGATTCTCGTGCCTCAGCCTCTCCAGTAGCTGGGATTACAGGTGCATGTTATCACACTGGGCTAATTTTTGGTAGAGTTGGAGTTTCACCATGTTGGCCAGGCTGGTCTCAAACTGTCACTGTGCATTGCAACTGCAGAAGGCGGCACCCAGTAAACCCCCACAGAGGTGATCTTACCTGGCCTTTGGACTTGTCTTCCCCCATACACCAAAGTGGCCCCTTCTTTCACTCCAGTTTCACAGTATTGCAGCAGCTTTTCCAGGTGGGCCTTATGATTTTGGGGCCCATGATCAGTGGATCTGTCAAGTGGATCACCAATTTTCATCTTTTTAATTTCTTCTACCTGCATGTTACCCAGTCCATAAAAACACAGTTCACTGTTAATAACGATAACAGAGTTTCGTTTCTAAACATGTGGTAGGTCTATACTAAGGTGTTTATCAATGTGTTGGCATTTAGTCTTTACAATTGCACTGGAGGTAGGTGGTTGGTTGGTTTGTTGTTTGTCTCCCTTTTGGAGACAGGGTCTCACTCACTCTGTCATCCAGGGAGGATCACAGTGGCATGGCATAGCGCACTGCAACCTCGAACTTCTAAGCTCAAGTGATCCTCCCACCTCAGCCTCCCAGAAGAAGAAACTGAGGCCTAGAGGGGTTAAATAAGCACATACAACCACTAAATACTGTTGACTTTTTTCCACCTGAAATCCCAAGTCCTTAACGACTATGTTCTAGCACAACATAAGCTACATACACTGTATGAAAATTATCCGAAATGTTAATCCATTAAGAAGAGCAAACTGATGTTCTGAAATGTTTATTAACATCATGTACTTCACTCTTCATGGCAAAATAATTTTTAAAATGGTCACATTGTTATCTTTTTTTTTCCTCCCCAAATGTGGCAGACTGCCCTTATAAAATTCTCATGGCATAGCCATGCCAGATGACTCACTAGAATGCCCTGATGAAAAACAATCTTTACTGCCCGATGTTCATCACTGACGTGTCTTTGTAATTACCTCTTGTACTCCTCAGTTATCTTAATCTATTTCTGCATCTTCTAATGTTAGGTCCCATTCTGGTAAGAAGAATGGGAGTTACCATGACCCAGGAGGTCCACGACTTTGAATTTAGGCCTGGCCATAATCTCTTAGTGCCTTCCCCAGGGTTCTGCACTGGATGAGAAGCTCTGAGTGGCCAGGGACCATGTCTGCCTTGTTCACCTTCATATTCTCAGCATTCAGTGTTTGGTACTAAGTAAGTGCTCAGGAAATTCTGCTGACGAATGAATACAAACAGCATATGTGTACAACATGCTTGTTGATGTAGCAAATCCTTGACATTTCTGGTCTCAGTGTTTGAAATTTCAACAAGTTGTAGCTGATTGTGAAAGCCCATGATATGTAGCACTGCAGACCGTATTTTAATGAAACACAAAATTAAATTACACTGTGATGTTCAGGAGGCAACCACTGCCTACCTGACTGCCCTCCATCTGCCTCTCTGTATGACTTCCTTGTTACTGATTCTCATGAAGGAAGAATACCTTTGTTTTTTGGGTGGGTTGGGGTATAGAGAATTGGCTCTGGGGAAAAAATAGCTGGGTACTGTTTTGCAAATATAAGCAAATTCATGATTAATACTACCTTCATAATGACATATTATAGTATAAGTTAGGTTTATTTTAGTCACATAATTCATCTTAACAGTCCTATAGATGAGTTTTAGTCCCATATTTATGGAGTCATGATCAATGTACTGGGGCTATTTATTTAGTTTTTTTAGTGGAAGAAATTATATGCTATCATGTCAACTGCAATTGGGATTTGTAAGGATCTAGTGGTGTATCTCCCATAGCTTATTTAGAGATCTATAAAAGTCTAGGAGTGTAACTCTCACAAGTGTCAAGGATGTAATATAATACAAATGTAGAGTAAGGCTCTTCAGTATACTTTATCAGGTTTTTATATAAACCTCTTTTTACTATAAAAAATCATAAACACGTGAAAATAGACACATAATATAATGAAACCCCATGTACTCATCACCCAGCTTCAACAACTACCAATTCCTGGCCAATTTATTTCCCTGCTCACTTCCTGTCCTCCTGGGTTATTTTGAAGCAAATTTTGGACATCATATGATTTAATCTGTAAGTATGCCAATATGTAGCTGTAAAAAAAATACTAGGGACTGATTTTTTCAAACATAATCACAATACTGTTAATCACACCTGAAAATTCATTAGCAATCCTAGAAGTATGATTTTTCAAGTAAAAGCAATTTCTAAACAACTCATAGAGTAAATGTGAAGGCGCCTCACCACTCTTGTCACAAACTCGTCGTGGATGGATTCTTCCACGAACAACCGCCCAGCAGCAATACAGTTCTCTCCTTTGTTGAAAAACACTGCCCCCATGCCCTTCAGCGGGAGAAGAGAAAACATTGCTGACATCACTTGAGGAGTCAAGATTCTCATAGAGCTGTCCACAGAAGGAATCAGTTGTTTTTGGAAGACAGCAGACAACACAGAGGAGTCATAGAAAATCCCCTTGGCCTTGTCAGTGATGAGAGCTTCTTGGAGACACTCTGTTTTGATTTGGCATTATTTGAGAGATTTTATTTATCCTTTCCCCTTTTGGTCCATGAGCATTTCAAAAACTGTATGTGTAGTAGTAAAGATGTACCATTAGAAACAAATTTGGTATTAAAATAAAATCTAGATTATTCTCTTTTTTAGTTTATTTTTCAGAGATAGAGTCTCTCTCCTCCTCACCCCAGCCTCCCAAGTAGCTGGCACTACACTACAGGTGTGCACCACCTTACCCAGCTAATTTTTAAATTTTTATTTATTGTAGAGACAGGGTCTCACTATGTTGCCCAGGCTGGTCTCAACACCTGGGCTCAAGCAATCCTCCTGCCTTGGCCTATAACTTGTACACCAAGTTTTGCTTTTAAAAATCTCTACATTAGGCCAGGCGCGGTGGCTCAAGCCTGTAATTCCAGCACTTTGGGAGGCTGAGGCGGGTGGATTATGAGGTCAAGAGCTCGAGACCATCTTGGTCAACATCGTGAGACCCCGTCTCTACTAAAAATACAAAAAATTAGCTGGGCATGGTGGCGCGTGCCTGTAATCCCAGCTACTCAGGAGGCTGAGGCAGGAGAATTGCCTGAACCCAGGAGGCAGAGGTTGCAGTGAGCTGAGATTGTGCCATTGCACTCCAGCATGGGTCACAAGAGGGAAACTCTGTCTCAAAAAAAAAAAAAAAAAAAAAAAAACTCTACATTATGTAATCATAAATTATTTATTTATTTGTTTGTTTATTTAAGACAGTGTCTCTCTCTGTCACCCAGGCTGGAGTGCAGTGGTGTGATCATGACTCATTGCAGCCTCAACTTCCTGGGCTCAAGTGATCCTCCCATCTCAGTCTCCCTAGTAGCTGGGACCACAGGTGCACATTACCACGCTGGGCTTATTTTATTTTTATTGGTAGAGATAGGGTTTCGCCATGTTGCCCAGGCTGGTCATGAAACCTGAGAGGCTCAAGCAATCCTTCTACCGTTGACCTCCCAAAGTGCTGAGATTACAGGCATAAGCCACCATACCCAGCCATGAATCATAAATATTTAGAAAGCCTTTTTAACCCCCTCATGAAAGAACTACTATTTTTCAGGGAGAAGTTTGAGAAATCTTTGAAATGATGATGCTCAAAAATGACAGATTTGGAAGACCGATGAATTTTGTTCATTTTCCCTTTTTATAAATCCAGTTTCTAATTCACCTACAGGAAACCTCTCTGGACTGTATTTTTAAAAATGGATGTGGCTGGGTACAGTGGCTCACACCTGTAATTCCAGCCACTTGGGAGGCCAAGGCAGGAAGATCACTTTAGTCCAGGAGTTTAAGACTCGCCTGGGCAACATGGTGAGATCCCATCTCAAAAACAAAAAATACAACGAATGCTTTGAAATCACATGTTTTTCCTGTGCATACATTTTACCTTTAAACATTACAAAAATACATTGACCACCTTGGGTTTGGGGTTCTTAAATGGTTAAAACAAAGATTCTTGTTTTGGTTTGGTTTTTTTCCAGACTAAGTCTCGCTCTGTTGCCCAGGCTGGAGCGCAGTGGCACGACCTCAGCTCAGTGCAACCTCCGCCTCCAGGTTCAAGCAATTCTCCTGCCTCAGCCTCCTGAGTAGCTGGGATTACAGGTGTGCGCCACCAAACCCTGCTAATTTTTGTATTTTTAGTAAAGACAGGGTTTCTCCATGTTGGTCAGGCTGGTCTCAAACTCCTGATCTCGTGATCCACCTGCCTTGGCTTCCCAAAGTGCTGGAATTACAGGTGTGAGCCACTGCACCCGGCCAAAACAAAGACTCTTTAAAGTTTTACATTTCTAATCCAGACATCCAGGGGAGTCCCGACCCCTGAAGTCAGTTCATGTAACCCCAGCCATTGTCTGTCACTGAAACCTCACAGTCTACTCAAAGGCCCTGGGCGCAGGGGCACATGGCCCTTCTTCACTCCCAGACCACTCCATTCTCTTTGGATTGCTTATGTGATGAGCTTTGGCTGTGAGTGTTCATTAAAATGACATTTAGGGGAAATGGGGAACAGAGTCTGCTTAGTGCATAGCTGGGCAATTGTACAGAACTGGGAAGACCATAAGTTTCCCCCAGAATTACAAGAAAGCTTAGCAACCTATGCCAACCATTGACTCATTTTATGCCTATATCTCAGATGTGAAGAATGAGAACTAGGCCAGTGTTTTTTTTAACCTTTGTATTTTATTTAAAATTAGCCTTTATGCTTTGAAGTAGTTTAAGGCTCACAAGGTGTTGCAAAAATAGTAAAAGAGTTCCTGTGTGCCCTTTACCTAGCCTCCCCATGATAACATCTTAAAAAACCATTGTACGTTGCTAAAACCGGGAAATGGATGTTGCCAATTACTTGTTAAATATGAAACCCTTTGTTGTGTCTAAAACTCTTACCAGAAGCTCAGTGTGCAAAAGAGGTAAAAATAGGACTGTTCAGGCTGATGGGATGAGATGTGGGAAAGGAGGGAGAAGCTAAAAGCCCTAATAGAATATCTTTGGAACTTTTTTACATGCCTGCTATGACTTACATCCTTTTTAAAAACACCTTAGTAGGGTTATTATAAAGACATTATTTTTAAAAACTAGGTGCTCTATATTTCCAAATCTAAGCATAAAAAGGATGCTTTTATTTTACGACCAGGCAAAAACCGAATCTCATTTTAAGGCCTCTGGTAAAGAAGGAGGTGAAAGGTGTTTTAGAAGCAAGCACCTATTGATTGTTGTTGTTGAGACAGAGTCCTGCTCTTGTCACTCAGGCTGGAGTGCAGTGGCGTGATCTCAGCTCACTGCAACCTCCACCTTCCGGGTTCAAACGATGCTGCTGTCTCAGCCTCCCAGGTAGCTTCCATTACAGGCATCCACCACCACACCTGGCTAATTTTTTTTGCATTTTTAGTAGAGACGGGATTTCACCATGTTGGCCAGGCAGGTCTCCTGACCTCAGGTGATCTACCTGCCTCGGCCTCCCAAAGTACTGGGATTACAGGCATGAGCCACTCCACCCAGCCCAGGCACATATTTACTTGAATTTGGCCCACTCTTACCATTCGCACAGCCTTGTCAAGTTCACAGTCATTAAATATTATAAGTGGAGACTTGCCACCAAGCTCAAGAGAAACTTTCTTCAAGTTGCTCACAGCACAGCTAGAGAAAAATAAATGAGAAATGAGCATTTAGTTAACATCTCTCTCTCTGTCTCCCCCCACTCTCTCTGACTCCCCCACCCCTCCACCCCCCCACACATACATTTAAGCTTTAAGTTACTACCTGGCGTGGAAAACATATTGAGCCTCAGAAATATTAAGAAACTTGTTCAAGGCCAGGCACAGTGACTCACAACTGTAATCCCAGCACTTTGGGAGACCAAGGCAGAAGGGACCCTTTAAGGCCAGAATTTGAGACCAGCCTGGACAACATGGCAAGACCTCATCTCTGCAAAAAATTTAAAAAATTAGGCAGGTATGGTGGTGTGTGCCTATAGGGCTAGCTACTTGGGAGGCTGAGGCAGGAGGATCACTTGAGCCCAGGAATTCGAGGCTGCAATGAGCTGTGATCACCACTGTATTCCAGCCTGGGTGACAATGTGAGACCCTGTCTCTTAAAAAACAAAAGAAAGAAAAAGGGAAAACTTATTCATAGATAAAACATAGATGGTAGAATGAAGATTACCATTGAAGCTGAGCGATGAGTACATAGAATTCATTTTGCTTTTCTGCTTTGTATATATTAGAAATTTTCCATAATAAAGTTTTTAAAAATGTTTTGATCACATGATTAGAGATTCTCATAAGTAAATTCAAATTCTTTAGGAATTTTGGTTACATAAAGGCCTGGCAAGGAATTAAACCTCTAACCAGTCTACTGAAGCAGTGGGAGAAAAAATAATCAATTTTTTAAAGGATGAAGTATGCTGTTTATTTTCCCTTTCTTACAAAAAGAAATTTGATATACTATTCGTATTTAAAACATTTTGAAAATACCTCCCCAACATGCACACAGAAGGAAAAAACCACAAAATTCCATTCCATGCTCCAGTGACCATTGTTTTTACCCTTTTGATTGATATACTACCTATTTGTGATCTATCCTACCATAGTTTTTGCCTTGTTTAACATAGTTGAGATCATCCAATGTATACAACGTTATACTTTATCTTTATTTCCATTTATTATTTTAATAATACTTTTCAATGTTATTAAAATTCTCTATGAACATGACTGTACAGTATCCTATTACACTGACATATTTTAACAACTGCTTTATTTTGCACATTTAGATTGCTTTCAGTTTTAAAAAATATTGCTTGGGGGACTCCATTTTATAAATAATCTGGGTTTGTCATATAAAATATATGAATTTGATATTTATATATCTTTTTGGTTTTTTAACCATACTTCAAAAACAATTTGGGCCACAGCTTTAATATAGAAACTCTTTTGTGCTGAATTGTTAAAACTACTAGTAGGGTGTAGAATTTCAACATAGCTTTGCTTTTATTGACTCTGGGCTTTAATGCTTTGGAAAGTATTCTGTTACATTCAAATATTTCATTACTCAGCAGTGATAAGTAAATGTCTCTTCCAAATTAGATGTAGATTTTCTCATTCCAAAAGTACCCTATTTAAAACAAAAATTGAAACCTAGTTTAACAGAATCTGCAGTGAATCAGCATATTAAAACCAATACCTTTTCATGATCTGTTTGCCAATAGGAGTGGAACCAGTGAAACCCAGTTTGCGGATGTCAGGATGCTCAGACAGACGTTGTCCTGCTATGCCACCTGTAGAATTAGAGAATAAAATGAATTAAAACATACTCAAATGCTTATGGTGAAGATGGCTTTAAATTCATTGAAGTAGATTTCTAAGCTCTCATCGGCTCCTTAGTTTTAAATTTCTGTATTAAGTGCAAACTGGTAAAAGTCTAAAATAATGCCCTTTATGAAATTATCAGACTCCAAAATAATGATGGGTAATCCCTGATTTTTATCTTCCAGAGTAGCTTTTGAAAATCGAAATGGAACATCTTAGGGTAATTTTACATGACTGTACAACCCCCTTCCCCCCTGCCACTCACCCACCACTGTATTTCCATTTTAAGATTTTAGCATGTGGTAAGTATATTCATCCTTAACAGTCTGGTAAATTGTATTTAATTTTAATACAGTTATAATTCAGGACAGGTCTCTAGTGGGAAAACAGCCACTCAGCTACCCCAGTACCATTCATTAGTTATAGCACAGTGGGTCATTTAGTGGCTTACCTGAGCCTGGAATGATGTTGATGACCCCCTTTGGAAATCCTGCTTTCACAGACAGCTCTGCAAACTTCAAAGCAGTCAAGGGCGTGACCTGGAGAGAAGCAGACAGCAATTACCTTCTTCAGGCTCTGTCCTGCCCTTTAGCCCAGAACCCAGTTTTCCCTTGATAGCTGTACTAGAGCTCATTTTATTTTTATTGTACATTGTCTTATTTTGCCATAATTTCAGACTTACAAAAAGATGCAAAAATAGTATAAGAATTCCTTATATACATTTCCATTCAGATTCCTCAAATATCAATATTTTATTATGTTTGCTTTGTCTTTCTGTATATATTTTTTTCTAAACTATTTTTTAAAGATAAATTTAAGGGATGTCTTTTTCTGAACCGTTTAAGAATAAGGTAAAGACATACTCCATACTTCTAAATACTTCTGTGTGCATTTTCTAAAAAGCAAGAAATTATTTTACATTATCATAGTACAATTATCAAAATCAGGAAATTAATAACTGACAGAATACGTAATTTGCAGACCATATTCAGATTTCACCAATTATCCCAATAATATCTTACAGCAAAAGAAAATCCAACATCTGCATTACATTTAGTTATAGCTGTAGTCTCCAGTGATCTAAGAGAGTTTCTGCGTTTTCTATTTCATTACACTGACATTTTTGAAGAGTACAAGCCAGTTATTTTATACAACATCTCTTTGTCTGGATTTGTCTGATGTTTCCTCATGATTAGATTCAAGTTATGCACTTTTGGCAACAATGCTACTGGAGCGATGGCTGAGCTTTTCTCAGGATATCACATCAGGAGGCACATGCTGTGGAATAGTCCCAGTACTGGAAATGTTAGTTTTAATTATTTGGCGAATGTAGTCTGCCAGCTTTCATCACTGTAAGTTACTATATTATACATTGTCATTAATAAATATTTTGTGGGGAGATACTCCTCAAATTTTCACCCACTAGTTTTAGTATCCATGGATAATTTCTGGATAGTAATCATACATCATTATGATGGTTGCCAAATGGTGATTTTCCAGTCTCATCATTCCTTCCACATGTACTAATTGGCTCTCTCCTATAAGTGTTTTCCTTTCTGTTTAATTAATTCATATCAGTGTGCATGCATAGATTCTTACTGGAATCAGCAGGTTGTCATCTTTTACTGTTTTTAGTGATTTTGATGTTCATTTGTTCTAGATTTGGCTGCGGGAGTTCCTTTAGTATGGCCCCTGTATCATTCTGACATGCCCCTATTACTCTTTGGGCATTACATTGCTTTCAAGCCCAGTGAAATATTTCAGGTTCATCTGATTCTTCCCTACTTCAGCTGCTTCTCCAAGGAGCCCAGGTTTCTTTGAGAGAAGATGGTATTTAGAAATCAAGATATCTGGACATTATTGAGGGGTCATTGCTTCCAGGCCCTTTTAGCAGACAGAGCTGGGAAAGAGATGTATGTATACACAACACACACACATGTTTATATGTATGTGTGTATCTATCCCACATATAACTATATCCATTTCTTTATTTAGCTATCTAAATACATTAAAACCCATGAGTTTACATGGATACCTCCATCTGATATCTCAGGGGCGATTCTAACCTTCTGCCCTTTTTACATTTGTGATTCTCTTCTCCAAGAAAGAGAGACATGGCTCCTATTATCCACAATATATTTACTTATTTGCTTAATCCTAAAACATAGAGAGAGTAATTTGAGAATTGTTAAGCCATGTCCCTACAAAAAAAGCCTATTAATTAGAGTTCAATATGTATTGAGGTTTTTTGTTGTTGTTTTGCGTTGCCTTTATCCTGAGGACATATAGTCCGAAGTTAGTCAAAAGTGACTTGGGTTCATGCTTCCTCACTCCCTTCAATGGGGTCATGTTATTCATTTGAAATATGGCTGAATTTGTTTTTGTTTATGTTTAACTTTAGGGTTTTTGCCCTATCTGTGTTGATTACATTTCTTTTCTTTGTTTGTTGTCATTGAATATGGGGAATATGCTTCCAAAAGTCAGGACTATTCAAATGGTCCATTCAGAGAATGCTTTCCCACCCTCCTTTCTACCCCATTCCAGCTCCATGTTCTATAGATCAATTTCATTAGTCTCTAGTCTCCACTTACCTTTCCTGTGTTTCCTTTTATTCAAATCAGCAAACACATATTTTCTTATTTTCCCTTCTTTCTCACATAAAAAGTGGGATAATATGGGTCTGACCTTAAATATCTATTATAGCAATGCAAATCTCCAAGGCAAAATGAAAGCAGTACTTTCACACTCTTAAAAGCCAACGTTGATTCAGTTTTAAGTTAGTACTTGGTTAGCCTGGACTCTAAAAATTGGGTGTGCAAGAGGATCCATTGAGGTGTGAGAAGAAAATAGTGGAACTTCTATTTATATATTTTAGCTGACAAAGATATGAAATAAATGAACCATAACTAACATTTACTGTATGGCTGGATAACGGTGCTGTCACACAGTCTGAATGAAGGTCATATGGTCATGGGTCACAAAGGCATGGGCAGTGCCCCAAGAAAGAACAGGCATTCACAAGTCCAAGAGGGCGGCAGTGGTTCCTTCCCTTGCTCATTTGCTTTCAGAAGATTGCCCTCTGATGATGTTTACAGGTTTGATTACATGGGTTCACAGACTACGCTGTTACTTTAATTAACCTCGTCTTCATAAAATGAACAAGTGGCCAAAAAATGTGCAGAGAAACTGCACAATAAATAATAATAGTAACAAGACAACCACAAGCAAACGAGGAAGAGGCACGGCTACCAGTTTTCCTCCTTCTAGTAACAGGTCCATGACAGTCACATCGTGAGGTTGGTAAAATGTCAGTGTAGACTTAACTCGATCAGAAGTTGCCCCAAAACATTTGAAATTATCAAGACCGTTGAAAGTGGATTTACATCTATAGGTGAAGATTATCCTAGCCCAAGTGTATCTTATTATGCTTTGGTATGCAACCATCATTATTAGAAAAACATTTAAAAACTATCCTAAATTATTTATAATTCTTTTAAAGTAAGAATATAAAGGTTTTAAAATGTGATTTATAAATAAAATAAATGGTTTCATCTCTATCACAACTCTTTTCATTTCTATTGGTTTTCTTCCATTTGGCTATTCAGTGTTTCTGTAGGATTATAGGTTTGCATAATATGTGAGAAAGCCTCTAGTATGGTTCCGGGCTACGGTAGGTCATTACTAAGTATTAGGTTAATAAAGTCAGAACTTGTCACACCTGGACCAGCCACTCTAGGCCATAGAAATTGGTGCTTTCTTTTGTATGAAGCCAGGAGGGAATCTTTCACACATATAACAAAGCAGACAACCAGCTTAAGAAGAGTCATCTAAATTCAATCCTCCTGACATTCATACAGAGCCCTAATATTATAAATGCATCACTGCATAATATTATCCAGTAAAATAAAACACTCCAGCATAACAGTGGTACCTTTGGGTCTTTCATTCTCAGATTTTAAATTATCTTCAACTATAAAACTACCAGTTTTAAACTGCAGATACAGCCAGACTGTAATTTCCATGGGAACAGAAACTTTGTATATCTTCATCACTACTGCCTGCCTGGAAACTGCTATACACTCAAGAAATGTTTGTAATTTTTGGACACTCTGTATACTCATTGCCATCTTTCAGTGATTAGCACTCTGACTGGATATCATTTACAGGTTCTCCACCCTTGCTGTGCCTTGGAAGAATGTGAAGCTTTTAAGTAATACTAATGCGTGGTCTCCAACTTAAACCAATTAAATCAGATCTCTCCTTTTAAAATGCTGATATCAAGCCTCATCTCTGCTAGTGGGGCCTGATATCAGTATTTTAAAAGGAGAACTTCAGGTGATTCTAATGTACAGCCAGTGTGGAGCTCCACTGGGCTAGATTACCTGTCTCTTCACTTCACTCAACTAGCTTCTTGCTGTTTAATGGGTTGTGCACCCGTTAAACAAGACTGGGAAACAGCACTCTTGTACAATGCTGGTGAGCTAATATGACCCCCATGGTTGGATTTGTCAATATCTATCACACAAATATATGTATTTTTTCACTGAGGGATTCTGCTGCTAGAAACAGATCCTATAAATACACTTGCACATATGCATTATACTTATAAGGTTTATAAGGTTATTAACTGTAGTATGGTTTATACAGAAAAAGGAGAGAAAATCTGAATATCCATAATTACAGATTGGTTAAGTAAAATTTGTTTTAGCTATACAATGGGAACTGCTAAAAAAAAAAGATTTTTTTCCTTTGGTAAGTATATAGAATGCTACTTTTTGTGTGTGCTTTTAAAATTTTTATTTTATTGTGGTAAGAACATTTAACCTGAGCTCTACTCTCTTAACAAACTTTGAAGGGTAAAATATAGTATTGTTAACTCTAGGTGCAACGTTGTACAGAGGACCTCTAGAACTTATTCATCTTACATAATTGAAGGGCTTTTTTCCTTTTTTTAGGCAGAGTTTCACTCTTGTCACCCAGGCTGGAGTGCAATGGTGCAACCTCTGCTCACTGCAACCTCCACCTCCTGGGTTCAAGCAATTCTCCTGCCTCAGTCTCTGGAGTAGCTGGGATCACAGACACCTGCCACCATGCCCAGGCAATTTTTTGTATTTTCAGTAGAGATGGGTTTTCACCATGTTGGTCAGGCTGGTCTTGAACTCCTAACGTCAAGTGATCTACCTGCCCTGGCCTCCCAAAGTGCTGGGGTTACAGGCTTGAGCCACTTCACCTGGCCAATAATTGAAGCTTTATGCCCATTAAGTAGCAATATATACATATACACATACACAATAAGATATATCTACATATAATAATATGTATCTCTCAACATATACATATAAAACTACATGTTCTTTAATATACACATATATATGTAGAGACTACCCCTGGAATATCTGAGCCACTAACAGATAATAGAAAATTACATTGGTTGTCTCTGGGAGGTAAACTGGTTGGCTGGGGAATAAGGACGGGAGGGAGACATTTCACTATTTACCTCTTTGTATCTTTTGAATTTTGAAAACTTTACATGTATACCTACTTTTTCAAATAAAATCATTTTCAATGATTAAAACAAATGGCCACAGCCACATGACCATGTAGCTATGCCGAATGAAACTGTATTTTTTAAGTTCTGAAAGAAGAAATAGAAGAGTTGACAGGTAGCAGATTATACAATCTAGAATAATGACCAAGTTTTCTCCATGACTTATACACCTCAGAAAGTGTACCACATAATACAGTTACCTGCATATAACAGAAACCCAAGGAAGAAGTTTATTTTTCTTTGTACTTTACATAGTAAAGGCTCAGCCAGTGTTAACTTGGCTGCTATATGTTTTTCTTAAAAACCTATTGTAGCACTAAAAGATTCTTTGAGAACTAACTGAACTACTTCTTAAAAGTATTTTCTTGTTATCCATCTGGATATATTTTTACAGAGTTGCCACAATTACAGACGTTCTTTTACAGCTTTTCCCTCATCTTCCATCTTCACTGTATATATAGTGAATATATATATATATTTTTTGAGGCAGAGTCAAGCTCTGTTGCCCAGACTGGAGTGCAGTGGCATGATCTCAGCTCATTGCAACCTCTGCCTTTACAGTATTTTTGAAAATTAAATTCGAATACCTGCATAATATTTTTTTTGATGTCTCATAATTACTCTAAATAATTCCCTAATTGTTGGGCATTTGGCATTCTGCAAGAATTGAATTGGTTTGTGGCAAGTGGAGGGACTTCACTGATTGCACCATGCTTGCTTCTATTATGATCAAAGTTTTAAATTGTGGGATCTCCACACAATGTATTAGGTAGCCATTAATAATGAATATTTACTGATAGGAAAAGTCTATGAAATATGAGAAAAATGCCATATCATCTCATTTTTGTTTGCTATTTATAAATACATGTCACTTTTTTGAAGTACTGGATATAGGAGAGGAGGTGATTCTGCACCTGCCCTTCGTGGCCTTACCTGTGCAGGCTTGAGCACTAAGGTATTGCCTGCTGCCAAACATGCAGCGCTCTTCCACGCCAGCATCATCAGCGGGTAGTTCCAGGGAATAATAATGGCACAGACGCTGCAGTGGAAGAAATTCGACATGCTTAGTTGTTTCAAATAACACAACTCATGACTCACTCAGAGGCACTCTCCTTATCTTACCCGAGTGGTTCTTTCTTGGTGAAGGTCAGATTGCGATTTGGACGGGCTTGGTTGATTGGAATAGTAGAACCCTAAGGATAAGAAAAGTTGATACTTATTTTACTGATTTAAATAAGTAAATTTAATCTCAAAGGATCCATTTTCCATTTTGTCTCTCTTACTTTTTCTTGGCTGATATGAAAAGTGTTTGTTGATAAGAACTAGATCCATGCCAAAGAAGGAACAGCTATTTGTTTCTCAGGAGAACTATGAAACACAGTAGAATAAATGTAATTCTAATTTAGTCCATTCCCAATTGCTTGGCATGGCAGAGAATGTGAATTGCCTGCCTATTATCCACTCTCCCCTCTGTCCTTAGTAAAAGAATCCCTACATTAATAATGGGGACAGCAATATGCCCAGATCAAAGACTATGGTTCCCATCCTCCAGATTAGGGATGGTCAATGGAAGATACAAGCACAAAGCATTGGAAGGCGAATGCTATTTAAACTAGGCTAACTCAACTCTTTTATTCTTCCTTCCGTGTCTATTTCCTCCTTCTTCCTGTTCAGACTATTGCTGAAATGGCTGGCACTGCATTGGTCTTCTTGAGACCATGAGTCAACCTTGAGAGTGGAGGTCACATGGTACTAAAGATGGCCTGGCAAAGACAGAAAAAGAGTTTGCATCTCACATACTAGTCCTGGCTGCCTGTCTTTGGACTCCTTGAAAGTGAGAGAAAAATAATAGGATAAAAAATAGGATTAAATTGGCCATTATATGCAGCCAACTTAATCCTGACAGATTCACAATAGTATCCTCTAATGAAAGCTATTCATTTGCTTTGCCACAGAAAATATTATTGCTACTACTAATAGAGTGGACAATTTCTTAAAATACTTGTAGCCAGTTATGTTTTGGAATTAAGAATGTTTTGGACTTCAGAAATGTAATATAGTGCATATACCTTATATTATCTACTACCCCAGCAAGATTTGGGTAAGATTTCTCAAGATTATGGGAAATTCCCAAGATTTGGGAAATCTTACCCAAATCTTTCTGGGGTAGTAGATAATATAAGGTATTTGTGTTTGAATTCCCATAATCAAACACACTAGTATTTATTCACTGAAACATTAGAATATTCACTCTTGGTGATGTAAATAAATATTATTAATAGATTATGTTCATTCAGGTCAGAGTTTGGCATCAAATGAATTTGAAACAATCAAACAATTTTTGGGTTTCAGAGCTATCTGGATTTCATAACTGGGGATAAGAGATGGATCTGAACTGTGATTAGTGAATATCAATATATGCATGACTTTGTGGGTGAACCACAATGAAAACTTCATTTTTGTGCAAACCTGCTGTGTTGCAGACTTGACTAATCCTGTAGCATACAAATACTTATTTCCAATCCTCAAAACATAACTTGCAAAGTATGTATTATTGTGACCATTTTAGAGAGGAAGAAAGTAAGGTTCGGAGAGAGAAAATAACTTTAACAACATCAGCTGATACATGCCAACGCTGAGACTTGGACTCAGGTCTATCTGACTGTACATTAACGTTGGTGTCAGCAACGTACCCAGATGAAATAGGATGTTTCTCAGTCTCCTTAGCAGATAGAGTTGGCCACAGAGGGATATAAGCAAAAGGTACTGGCAAGTAAGAATGCTTTATAAATTCCTTTTACCACTCCTGCTTCCTCACTTTCTTCTTTTTGCAGCTGGGAAGGTGGTTCCAATGACTGGTACCGCAGTGATTATCATGAGTCTTTGGGGAACACGCATACTGCAGTTTGCTACAGGTCCTACCTTTCCCTTCTGTACCCCCAGTGCTGGAGCTAGTATTGCTGCCATTTATCACCCATGTTTGCTATTATTATCTTATAGTAAAAGGAAAATGAAATATTTATTTATTGTTCCTATGTCTTTATCAAAATTTTTCTTTGAAAAAATTTTTTTTGTTGTTTTTTTGTTTTTTTTGGCCAGGCACGGTGGCTCATGCCTGAAATCCCAGCACTTTGGGAGGCTGAGGCAGGCGAATCACTTGAGGTCAGGAATTTGAGACCAGCCTGGCCAACATGGTGAAACCCCACCTCTACTAAAAATACAAAAATTAGCAGAGTGTGGTGGTGGGCACCTGTAATCCCAGCTACTTGGGAGGCTGAGGCAGGAGAATCACTTGAACCCAGGAGGTGGAGGTTGCAGTGACCTGAGATGGTATCACTGCACTCTAGCCTGAGTGAGTGACAGATCAAGACTCCATCTCAAAGAAAAAAAAACATTTTTTTTGAAATTTATTTCTCTTAGGACACATGTTCAAAGACAAAGTTTTTCTCATACTCAGTCTGCTTCCAACATCTACAGTAGCTCTCTGGCCAATGTAGGTATTTGAATTTGTAAACCCTACATGATACTAAGTTTTCTCCAAAATGTCTAGAAAACTATTCAACACCCTCAGGAGATATTATAGTAAAGTGCAAAGAATATCATTAGACTTTAGATTCAGAAAATCTTGCGTTCAAATCTGGTTATATGGATTACTTGCTGTGAATTATAGGAAAGGCATCCATGTCCTCAAGCCTCTGTTTCTTCACATGCAATAAGGGGATAAGAGCTATCCATTTACTTCCCGTAGATGTTATAACCATTGCCAGGGTCTGAAAGTGTCCCCCAAAATTCATGTGCTGGGAACGTGTCCCAGTGCAACAGTGTTGGGAGGTAGGGCCATAATAGGCGGTGTTTAGGTCATGAGGGGTCCACCTTAATGGATGGATCAACGCTGCTATAAAAAGGGTTTGCAGGGGCCGGGTGCGGTGGCTCACACTTGTAATCCCAGCACTTTGGGAGGCCAAGATGGGTGAATCAATTGAAGACCAGCCTGGCCAACATGGTGAAACCCCATCTCTACTAAAAGTACAAAAATTAGCCAGGCATGGTGGTGAGTGCCTGTAATCCCAGCTACTCAGGAGGCTGAGGCAGGAGAATTGCTTGAACCAGGAGGTGGAGGTTGCAGTGAGCTGAGATGGCACAATTGCATTCCATCCTGAGAGACAATAGTGAGACTCTGTCTCAAAAGTTAAAAAAAATTAAAATTAAAATTAAAAAATGGGCTTGCAGGAGTGGGTTCAGTCTCTTCTACTCTTCTGCCAGGTAAGGACACAATGTTCCTCTATTTCAGAGGATGTAGCAACAAGGCACCATCTTAAAACTAGAGGCCAAACCTGCTGGCACCTTTATCTTAGACTTCCCAGCCTCCAGAACTGTGAGAGAATAACTTTCTGTTCTTTATAAATTCCTTAGTCTTGGGTATTCTGTTATAGCAGCATAAAATGGACCAAGGCAACCCTGTTATGTTGGTGTAAAAAAAGAGGATCTTTCATAAAAAGAGGATCTGACACAGTGCCTGGTATAAACTAATCAATGTTAGTCTCTTTTTCTTTCAGAACAAATAACATTTGTGCTTACCTGGATTTTGTCGCACCAGCCAGCAAAATATCTAAATGTTTGCACAGACATTCCAATGTGAGTCTTCAGAGCCAAGGTATAGACAGCCCCTGAATCAAGGGCTTCAATGGTCGCCAGCTCTTCTTGGTTCTCTTCCAGTAGGTCTGCAAGTCTGTGTAGTCAGTGAAAGAAATTAACTCAACAAGTACTGATTGAGCTTCTGTTACATAGAATGCAGTATCCTAAGGATGGAGAATTCAGAGGTAAACACATATGGATCAGATCTCTGCCCTTATGGAGATCATGGTCCAGTAGGGAAGAAAGCAGTAAACAAATAATTTCATAAATCATTTGTTTCAAGAATTACAAAGGAGAAGCAGCAGGTATTAAGTGTGTACAACTTGCCTCAAATATGTGTAAGAAGTAGAACAATGACTGAGTCATGGTAAAACAAGGAGATCGATGATAGAAAACAGTGGGGATGTGGACAGTTCATGGATATACAGGGAGATACTGGAGTGCAACCCACACCTTTTGAGAACACATGAACGTTTGAGGATTTCGGGTTGACACAAAAATATTTCTAATACTAACTAAAGAGATAAGATAGAAACATACAGAATGAATTACAAATACCATGACAGATTTCTGTTTGGTGTTCAGTTTATGGGAAAGTAAGTGCAGGACTGTATAATGACTATGATATTGTAAAAATTCATCTTTTGTGTTCAACTTCTCTTATTTGTTTTTCTTCTGTATTTGTAGTGGTTCTCTGAGCTGTTCCTTTGGAGCCACTGTAGAGTGCAGCTTGAAATCCCCCCCCCACAATCTTTCTTCCAGATCTTGCTTGTATTAGTTCATTCTCACACTGCTAATAAAGACAGACCTGAGACTAGGTAATTTGTAAAGGAAATAGGTTTAATTGACTCACACATCCACAGGGCTAGGGAGGCCTTAGGATCATGGCGGAAGGCAAAGGAGGAGCAAAGGCATGTCTTACATGGTGGCAGGCAAGAGAACATGTGCAGCAGAACTGCCCTTTATAAAACCATCAGATCTCGTGAGACTTACTTTCACAAGAACAGCACAGGAAAGACTTGCCCTCATGATTTAATTACCTCCCACTTGGTCCCTCCCATGATACAGGGGAATTATGGGAGCTACAATTCAAGATGAGATTTGGGTGGGGACACAGCCAAATCATATCATTGCTCTAAGAGATCTTTTGATCTAGGTCAGATATTTACTTTAGGTAAACAGCAAATGAAATTTATGATTGAATCTAATTACTCCTTATATCCTTAGTTACTGATTTATAATATTCTTCTCAGTCCTTATTATTTTTCTTACTTGTTCCTACTCCTTACACATCAAGTTGATCTAAAATTTGTTTTTTTTGTTTTGTTTGTTTGGTTTTTTTTTTTTTTTTGAGACGGAGTTTCGCTCGTTACCCAGGCTGGAGTGCAATGACGCGATCTTGGCTCACCGCAACCTCCGCCTCCTGGCTTCAGGCAATTCTCCTGCCTCAGCCCCCTGAGTAGCTGGGATTACAGGCACGCACTACCATGCCCAGCTAATTTTTTGTATTTTTAGTAGAGACGGGGTTTCACCATGTTGACCAGGATGGTCTCAATCTATTGACCTCGTGATCCACCCGCCTTGGCCTCCCAATAAAATTTGTTTTTTATAACAACGGAGTGCTAGATATTCTCCACTTGCCACTCTCTGTATCCACTCTCCACCCTGCTATGTGACCTTGATCCTGGTGAATGACCTTTACAGACTACATCACCTGGCTCCCTTGCTCTCACATTGGGCTTGGCCAATGAGAGGCCACTGGGAGGTACCCGCAGGAGATTGGTGCACTGAAGGAAAAAGTTGTCAGGGAATTGGATTCTCTGGGTCCCTCACTGATAGGCTGTGGTTCAGAAGCTCCCATGTCCCTCCACTGGAGAGTGGTTTTCTCCTATAGATGCAGATCTTGCCAGATTCCAGTAACAGCTCCTTCCTCTGTCCCTTCAGACCTTAAAGGCATAGCAGCTTCCCCCTGCTGCCTGGATGCTTCATTATCCTTTATTGGATTCCCTTGACCTTGCCCACATCTTTGTAAATAGTTCTTTATTAAACTTCTTTTCCAGCTGAGACCCTGCCTGATGCAAGTGTACTAACATAATCACGACTCACATATATGGGATTTAATATGAGTCAAGTAACAGAAGACATATTTCATATTAGATACATACTAGAATGTTTTGCAGGAATTTTTAAAAGCTTGGCAATGTAAGCCAATATCCAAAGGTTGTAGACTTGTTTTCTTTTTCTTTTTTTGAGACAGAGTCATGCTGTCTCTCCCAGGCTGGAGTGCAGTGGTGGAATCTTGGCTCACTGCAACCTCCACCTCCCAGGTTCAAGCAATTCTCCTGCCTCAGCCTCCCAAGTAGCTGGGACTATAGGCACATGCTACCACTCCTGCCTGTAATCCCAGCATTTTGGGAGGCTGTGGCAGGCAGATCATCCGAGGTTAGGAGTTTGAGCCTGGCCAACATAGTGAAACCCTGTCTCTACTAGACTTGCTTTCCAAAAAAAAAAAATACCTGTACATCAGTCTTCCTCTTTCTCTTGCATTCATTCTTCCCCATTCGCCATTTTCAAAAGCATCTTTTGCTGCTGCTACTGCTTTATCAACATCCGCCAAAGAAGCATAGGATACTTTGCATATTATCTATTTCAAGGTAAGTAAAAATAGGCCACATGAGAGATATGAAAATGTGGTTCTTGGAATTAATATTGTATTAATAGAAAAAAATAGGGTATTACTGATAAAATATAATATGGTGAAAAATGAGTATATCCAGTGCTATGGTAAAGAAAAAGAACAGTTTTAATATGAAAATTGTGAAACAGAAATTTAGTACCTCTCATGTCATACTACTTTATGGAAGAACATATTTAGCTGAATTTCTTGCCATGAGTCTTCAAAGTCTGAAAATTTTTTTCACATATAGCTCTATGCAGATGAGTGCCTCTGATTTGTATACGTAAAGCTACCTAAGTTCATCGTAAATGTTCTATAAAATAGGTTACTACGGTTCATAGCAGCTGGTACCAGAATTGAGTCATTGAAAGAAAAGCATGAAGTCCATTTGTGTGAAGTGCTTAGAGGCAGAGCGAGAGAATAATCGAGCTTCTTAAGACTGCCTGTTTTACCACAGTGTATAAACTAAAAATCCATGACCAGTGATCACTACACACACTGAAGAATTACTCACAGATCCATCCGTTGGGTTGATAGTGTCGTAAGTCTTTCCATCGTCTGCATCTGTGAACTGTCCATTTATGAAACACTGGTATGGCATTTTTACTGTCATTTCATTGACTTCCTTTGAAACCTGAGAGAATTATATCAATAGATTCAGTAGATTTCCGTGTTTAACTATTTGATGTTAAACAGCAATAAAGAAGCATATTCACTCATGCAGAGAGAGAAATCAATGGAATTCTAGTTCCGACTGTACAGAAGATATGTATATGTGAGATTTGGCCCTCAAGATGCTTGCCTTGGCCAGGAGGTTAGAAGCTGTGATGACAGAAGTGCTCTAGGCCAGGCTTTACAGAGATCTCAGATTTTCTTTCCTACGCAGATGAAAGGTAACTCACAAGACCTCTAGATAATGGAAACACCACCATCTAGTGGCAGCATTGGTGGAGCGCAGCTATTGCTTTCACTAAAATCCTTGAAAACGCTTGTCAATAAGTTTCCTTTTACACTGGTGCCATTTTAAGTTTGCTTTCCTTAAGTTCCTCCTGGTTTTCACTTTTTGTCTATTACACATGTGTTGCCTAAATTGTACTCTCTGCCAGTGGCTGGAAAGAAAATTTAAGTTAGTCAATGAACTTTGATGAGGATCAGTTGTTTTCAACAGTGCGATGGGGATAATGATACTGGCTTTATAGTTATTGTGAGGAAAAACTGAAGTAATATGTCAATACAAAGTATTAAAAGGAAATTTAATTATTAAAAAAATTATTTCATCTAGAGGAATTGTCAATGCTTTAAAAAGAAACAAAAAATAGGAAGAAGGTCTCTTGCCTTTTCCCACAGAGTGCTCATGATCTATGAGCTATTTCCGTTGTGTTTATGTAGAATATAATGAAGGAAATTTTATGGGAATTAATGTGCTCAGTCCCTGCAAACAGTCCACTTTTCTAATATTATCATTCTGGGAATATGCTGAATGTCTTACATGTAGCACCTAATTTGATTCTCCTAACAATTCTCTGAGGTAGATAGATATTATCATTATATAATATAATATATTATTATATAACATTATTATTACCCTATAATATATGAATCAAGTAACAGAAGACATGTTTCATATTACATGCATACTAGAATGTTTTGTAGGTAATAATAATAATTACCCAATCTGTAGGGTAATAACAATAATAATAATAATAATATCCACCACAGAGAATTGTTGAAAGAATCAAATTTTATACCCTATAAATAGCGTAATAATAATGGACGAAATAATAATAATGGAGGGTAATAATAGGAGCAAACTGTGGCATAGGGAAGTTAAGTAACTTGCCCAAGATCACACAGCTAGTAAGTCATGCTACTTGGATTCAAACCTAGGTTGGTCTGACTCCAAAATTCATGTTCTTAACCAGATGATGCTAAACTGCTTTCCAGATTTTCCGAATTCTTGTTAAAAACAAATGGGTGAGAAGAACTTCTGGGACAGTAAAGTAAGGACCTCTGAAAATCTATTCCTTCATAAAAGCAATGAGAACACTAGAAAATATTGTTAAAATCACGTCTCTCAGAACTCTGGAAATTAACCAAAGGCTTGCAATAATCCATTTCAAGAAGAATAGTTGAATCACAGTAAGAAAAGTGAGCTTTATGGTCTATTAAATGCCCTATTTCCATCTTTCTCAAAAGCTCTGCAATAGTCTTGAAAAACCAACATCATTGCAGCTATGGTAGCTGTGAAAACCAGCAGCCTAGTAGCCACTGATGGCAATGAAATGTGTCTGGAGCTCTCCACAAGCCTCATCCCCAAAGAACTGTTACTATTTGGCCTTCCTGGAAGCTCCCTGAAAAGCTCCAGTCTGAGAGATTTTCTGTTGTTAGAGGCAGGGTCTCACAATGTTGCCCAGGCTGATTGTAGTGGCTATTCACAGGTGTGATCAAGTGCATCACAGCCTCAAACTCCTGGACTCAAGTGATCCTCCTGTCTCAGCCTCCTGAGTAGCTGGGACTACAAGCACATGCTACCATCCCTGGCTTGGGCTTCTGTTTATTTGTTCTGACTCAGAGCTTGTTATGCACAAACAACCCTGTTCCTGGGTCATTTGTCAAAAACAATTAGTGGCAATTATTTAATAATGCAGCTGCCCACAGCAGTGGTACTAACTGAGACTAACAAATGGCTGACCAAATAATTTAAGAGGAACAACTGGGAATGAGATATACATAGGAGGCATTGAAAAGCTCTGACATATTCCTGGGAATCCAGAAGGCCAATACACATGCAGGGCTTGTGCACATGCCCAAGAAGGACCTCAGAAGGCCCTTATCTCTTAACTCTGGATGACCTTGAGGCTCTATGCAGGCAGGAAGTGTGAAGTCGAAGGCAGAGTTGTCAACTGCCTGTTGGAGCACACACTGAAGGTGTATCCCAGCACATGCACACACACAGCCCCCTCGCAAAGGCTGGGTGGCTTATTGATTCAAGGTGTCTAAGAAAATCTATGCCCGATCGTTGGATGACCATTAAGGTAACCAAAAAGAGACTTCAGCAGTGGCAAGCAATAAAAAATGCAGACTTTATAGAATTATCAAGAAAGTAATTGAACAACAACAACAAAAAAGCAGTAGCAGCAACAGCAACAAATATTGTAAAGGGAGATGGTGTGAAGGTCTGCTTTCCAGAGGTACCTCAGTCTATTATTTTAAATGACCACCTTTCAGCAAAAGATTACAAGATGTGCAAAGAAACAGAAAGTATGGCCTACACACAGGTGGAAAAAGCAGCTAATAGAAACCATCACTGGAGAAGCCTAGACTTTGGATTTGCTAAAGAAAGATTTTCAATAAGCTTTTGTAAGTATGTTCAATGAACTAAAGAAAACCATGTCTAAAGAATTAAAGGAAAGTAAGAGAATAACATCCTGCCAAATAGAGAATATCAATGAAGAGATAAAAATTATTTTAAAAAGAACCAAATAAAAATACTGAAGTTGAAATGTGCAATAACTGAAATAAAAAATTCACTAGAGGGACACAACAGCAGATTCAAGCAGGTGAAAAAAGCCTGAACAACAGGAAGGAATAAGAATAAAGAAAAATGAACAAAGCCTCAGAGACTTGTGGGATATGATCACGTATACCAACATATGCATAAAAGGAGAACCAGAAAGAGAAGAGAGGGAGAAGGAGAGGAAAAATATTTGAAGAAAGAATGGCTGAAAATTTCCTAAATTTGATGAAAAACATTAACTTGCACATTGCAAGAATGCACAATCTAAGAAGCTCAACAAATTCTGATGGGAAAACTCAAAGGCTCCACACCTAGACACATCATAACAAATAATCAAAAGACAAAGAAGAAATCTCAAAAGCAGCAAGGAACTCATCATACAAAAGAGTCCTTAATAAAATTAACAGTTGACTTATCATCAGAAACCATGGAGGCTGGAAGGCAATATGATGAAATATTTAAAACGATAAAAGAAAAATACCATCCAAAAATTCTATGCCCAACAAAAACATCCTTCAAAAATGAGGGAGAAATTAAAACATTCCCAAGTGAACAAAAACTGAAAATTGATTGCTAGCATACCTGGCCTAAAAAATACTGAGAAGAATCTTTCAAGTTCAAATGAAAAGACACTAGACGGTTAACTTGAATACATGCAAAGAAATAAAGAGATCTGGTAAAGGTAACTACATAGGTAAATATAAACATTGGTACAAATATATTTTTAACTCTATCTCATTAAAAATACAACTTCATAAAGCAATAATTATAAAACTGTTGATGGGCTCATGATGTTTAAAAATGTAATTTGTATGGCAATAATAGCACAAATTAGGGGAGTTCATAACAACTATGTTACAGCAAAGCTTTCCTATACTATCGATATTAAGTTGGTATTCATCTGAACCAGACTGTTTTAAGCAAAAATGTTAGTTATAATCCTCAAGGCATCCACTAAGAAAATAGCTTAAAAATATAGTAAAATAAAAAATAAGAGATTAAAAAGACATACTAGACATATTTAACACAAAAGACAGCAGTGAAGGAGAAATAGAGGAACAAAAAGGTGTCAGATAAGACGTATAGAAAGCATAAGTGGTAAAAGAGCATAGATAAATTAGACTTCATCAAAATTAAAACCTGGTGTGTGTCAAAGCTCACTCACGAAAGTTTCCAGCAAATTTACAGAATGAGAGAAAATATTTGCAAATCTTATATCTGATAAGGATCTAGTATCCAAAATATGCAAAGGACCCTTAGGACTCAGCAATAAAAAGACATGCCAGTTTAAAAAAGGACAAAGGATTTGAAAGAACAGACATTTCTCCAAAGAAGAAATACAAATGGCCAATGAGTATATGACAAGATGCCCAGCATCACTAGGCATTAGGGAATACAAATCAAAACCTCAGTGAGATCCTGCTTCACACCCACTAGGACAGCTAAAAGAGAAAAAACAGACGAGAGCAAATATTGGCGAGGATATGGAGAAGTTGAAACCCTCATACATTGGTGGGATCATATAATGGTGTAGCCACTTTGGAAAGCAGTTTGGCAGTTACTCAAAAAAGTTAAACATAGAGTTGCCATATGACTCATCAGTTCCACTCTTAGGTATATACCCAAGAGACTTGAAAACATATGTTCATACAGAAACTTATATATGAATTTTCATAATGTTATTCATAATAGCCAAAAAGTAGAAAGAACCCAAATGTACACCAACTGATGAGTGGATAAACAAACTGTGGTATATTTGTACAATAGAATATTATTTGGCCAGAAAAAGGAATGAAATGATGATACAACATGGATGAATCTTGAACACATTATGCTAAGAGAAAGAAGCCAGAAACAAAAAGCCACATGTTATTTTCTATTTATATGAAATCTCTAAAATAGGCAAATTCATAGAGACAGAAAAGAGATTAATGTTTTCTAGGAACTATCATGCTATCCAATTTTGGAACATTTTTTGTACGAGGTAGGCCTGAAACAGTAAAGAATGACTGCCAATGGGTACAGGGCCTCTTTTTGGGATGATGAAAATGTTCCAAAATTGGATGGTAGGACAGTTGCACAACTCTATGAATAAACTGAAAACCACTCAAAATATACATTTTAAAAGGTGGGTTGGGCCAGGCATGGTGGCTAACACCTCTAATCCCAGCACTTTGGGAGGCCAGGGTGGGCGGATCACCTGAGGTTGGGAGTTTGAGACCAGCCTGACCAACATGAAGAAACTCCATCTCTACTAAAAATACAAAATTAGCCAGGCATGGTGGCACATGTCTGTAGTCCCAGCTACTCAGGAGCCTGTGGCAGGAGAATCACTCGAACCCGGGAGGCAGAGGTTGTGGTGAGTCAAGACTGCACCATTGCACTCCAGCCTGGGCAACAAGAGTAAAACTCTATCCAAAAAATTAAGGGTGAATTTTATGGCATCTGAATTAGATCTCAGTAAAGCTGTTATTTTATTTTTTATTTTTGAGACAGAGTTTCGCTCTTGTTACCCCGGCTGGAGTGCAATGGCGTGATCTCGGCTCACCACAACCGCCACCTCCTGGGTTCAGGCAATTCTCCTGCCTCAGACTCCTGAGTAGCTGGGATTACAGGCACGCACCACCATGCCCAGCTAATTTTTTGTATTTTTTCAGTAGAGACGGGGTTTCACCGTGTTGACCAGGATGGTCTCAATCTCTTGACCTCGTGATCCACCCGCCTCGGCCTCCCAAAATGCTGGGATTACAGGGGTGAGCCACTGCACCCGGCCAAGCTGTTATTTTTTAAAGGTTATAAATATAAAAACCAAAGGGCAATAGGCACGGCTTCTTTTATACTGTATGGATCTCATTGATTTCGTGTTGTAACATCAAGGAAAGGCTTACGTAATCTACAACCAGCTCCGCCTCTTGATCTTCTCCTCTCAGTTTCCTCACGACCTTTTGGATAAAGTCTTCAAACTTGGTGGCCATATAGACATCTTCATTCTGCAACTGAAGCCCACCACATTTCTGTCTGATCTCTTCCACCAGCCTTAAAGTAAGAATCAGCTTTGCATTACTTAGATTTTAAAAGGGGTTAGCAAGACTGTGTTATTTGCATTTGTCAAGTTGTTTTGAGGTAAGACATCACGTGCCTATTTATATCCTATGAGATCTTCTGTGGTACTCATCAGAGAAATTGATAAGACTAGGGGCAAGAAATTATAAATATATCTTGAAGGACAGTGGCAGTTTTTAAAAACTTTATCCATGACTAAAAACAAAAGAAATCAAGGCAAAAATATTTTAATTACTTATAAGCAAGATAGCAAGGAGCATAGAAAGTCAACTCCTTTCCTTGCATATATACTCAAGGAATAAGAAACAAAGACACTTCCTAACTGTAAAGATTATAAGAGATGAATGTCATATTGTAGAATATTTTCTCTAAATTACATAGACATTTGTTTGTATTACATAGTTAACATAGGCACCAGCTGGAACTATGCAGTAGGTCAATATAATTTTTGAAGTCTTTCCAGTCCTTTGGTTTTCACTGTTAGTTTGTCAAATTACAGCTGTTATCTGACATTTCTTGAGTAGCAATAGCATACGAGGTACAGTGTGGCAAGTCCACCATGGTCGTCGTTCAATCATTTATTCTCTAAAACAAATGATACCTTTATAATCAAAATAATAATATCCGATGATTATGGTAAGTTGGACATTCAAACAGAAAATGAGTAATTCCTGCAGAAGTATCTTCCTAGCAAAAAGAAAACAAAGTGCTAATAATACAGTACGGAGGCCAGGTGTGATGGCTCATGCCTGTAATCCCAGCCACTAGAAAGGCTAAGATGAATGGATGGCTGGCCCAAGAGTGCAAGGCTGCTAGTGCAAGTGAGCTGTGATCATACCACTGCACTCCAGCCTAGGTGACAGTGATACGCTATTTGTAATAACAGTCACCATAATGTAGTATTAAAATCTTAAGCTAATTAGAAGTTTCTGGGAACTCATGAATCACAGCTCTGAGAAATCTATAATTTGAGGAACCAAAACTCTTGACTTTTGAAAACACTCTTGAAATGATTGTTTTGATGGCCCGGGCGCGGTGGCTCAAGCCTGTAATCCCAGCACTTTGGGAGGCCAAGGCGGGTGGATCAAGAGATCGAGACCATCCTGGTCAACATGGTGAAACCCCGTCTCTACTAAAAATACAAAAAATTAGCTGGGCATGGTGGTGCATGCCTGTAATCCCAGCTACTCAGGAGGCTGAGGCAGGAGAATTGCCTGAACCCAAGTGAGCCGAGATCGCGCCATTGCACTCCAGCCTGGGTAACAAGAGCGAAACTCCATCTCAAACAAACAAACAAACAAAAAAGAAATGATTGTTTTGATTTCTGGAATAAAACCTCCATGAATAAAGGGACCTTGTCTAGTTTACATTCTATATCCTCAGTGCTAAAACTGTTCTTGACATGTAGTAAATGTTCAATCAATGTTGTTAAGTGAGTAAAGAGAGAGAATATATATCAGGAACACTGCTTTGTCAATATGAAGGATTTTGTCAAGAGGAGGAAGATTTTTATCTTATTTAATTAGTGAATGGCCACAATGTAGCTTGGGATCAAATCCTCTTAGCTTCTATTTGCTGTACCCACCATCAAGGGACTGCACAGCCCCTTGTGAGCTCCCAGCTGTCTCATTATCCCAGTAACTCAAAGAAAAAAACTTCTGCAAGATGCTGCACCAGTAGGATCCTGGTCCACTTTTCTTGCCATAAAGGAGGTTTTCTGGGACTCCAGCCCTTTCAACTTGCTCTAAACCTCTGTGGAGAAATTCTGACTATAGGGTGATTACACTTGTCCTTGCAAATAGCCTGTTAACCCTCATTCTAGATCTATCTTACTGGGCGGGGGGAAGAAAAAAAGATTTTGGGGAAAGCATAGTTAATATCAGGTATCAGATCTTATTCAGATAATATTCTGGATCAGGCTCCATAGGAAATTCTCTGTTAGCATTCTCACCCAGAGCTTCTCAATTCTGATGTCATACTGGAGGAAAATTAGCTAAGAAAATGGGAGGACAAATTTTTAAAAGATGCAAACAGTTCTAAAGGTTGCTTTTTCAGGTATACAGAAGATAGTTAGCAACAAAGAGAACTGAACAGATAGATATGTCTGCTTGACCATGGAAACAACAATAAAAAGATGAAGAATAGAGATGTGCCGTAGACAGGTATGATAGGGAAATCAAATCCGGAACAAAGAATGTAAATTTCACTGTCAAATCCAAAGTCAAAATTCCTAGTGAGGAAATCCCTAGTGAGTCATAAGGTCGTGGTTTTACCTAGCAACATCCATTGAGCTTGCTCCAGATTTAAAGAAGTCTGTTGAGTCTTCAATAACAGGGACATTGCTTAAAATCCCAGCCCAGATGACCTACACAAAAAGGAAACTTTTGTAAGGAAAGTGCCACATAGAACAGTGTGGCAGGGGCTGGCTAGCTCTTCACCAAACCAATTTCCTCTTCACCTTGTATGCACAGATTGACCACATTTCTCAGCATCTCTCCAAGTTAGATGCAGCCAATGAACAGGAGTGGAAGTAACCTGCACCACCCCAGTCCTGGCCCATGAAGACCTCCTCCACACCATTCTACACGCTCCTTTGCCCTTCTGGCTGTCTGGAATGGAGATGTCCCCCAGGGAGACCTTGAAAATAATAGAAACTGGGTCCTTGAATGGGTTTACCCCTAACCCTCCTGCCAACCTGGAAGCCTTGGATGACATATGTGAAAAATCAATTTGTATGTACTGTGTTTGAGCATATGAATTTCCTCTTGCAGCTAGTACAAAAAAAAGAGGAAATAAAGTTCTGATCCCACTACTTTGAGGACTGATGGTACCAGTTACAAACATGCTTCAGTTTTCCAAGGTAACAGTAAGATTAAGGTCATGATGTGTTCACCTTGATAGTCTCTGCCACCTTCACCTCTTCGGCTGTGAGTTCTACCACTGACGTCTCACCCGCTGAAAAGTACTGAGAGGCAGGAATCATTCTTCCATCTTCAAACTGCAGATTTCTCACCATCAGCTACAAAATAGCAACAAAACAAGCATAAAAATTGGGACAATACAAAAGTGAGGCTGGTGGGAGGAGTCCTATAGATATACGCAAATAAGGGCAAGATTATTTGGAAACATACAAAAAAATGGATTAAAAGCATTCACCATTATGTGCAAAAGGGCTGAAATGGCATTTGAATGATGGCAGCAGAAAGGAGAAAGTTAGGTCTAGGGATAGGTACATCTCAAAATAGAAAATAAGTCCTGGAAAATTTGACACTCAGATGTAGGTATTTGAGTGTCTAGAATCTATTATGAAATAACAGACACCACTAGTACTGCCACATCTCCGCGGCTGCTGCCTCCGAGCACTTGCTCTGCACCATGCTGGAGAATGCATGCATGGGTGCTCACTTCAGCAGCACAGATGCTAAAAAAAAAAAAAGGATGCATGCATGTGCTGAAGGATCTCACCTAATCTCACAAATGCTGATGGAGGCAGATGCCATTATTATTCCCTGATACAGAAAGGGAGGCTCAGCGAGGTTCAGTAATTTGCTCAGTGCCACACAGATAGTAAGTAACAGAGCGGGAGTAGAACCCGGAACAGGCAGGACTCTAAGCCTACAGTCTTAACTGATTTATCCTGCAGCAACTGGAAAATATCCGTAAGCTACAAATTACCTTTGCATGCTTCATTGGGAAGCTTTCCAAGGGCACACTGAGGCCCAGGGCCAAGCCTCCTGAGCATAGGCAGTGTAGGTGGCACCTGCCTGGTGGATCAGTGGCAAGGGGCATCTGAGGAGGGCCACATCCATTTCACTTGATCCTCCCAGAATCAGGCAGTGGAAAGGCAGACAGATGACAGATTCTCCTCTCTATTGTATAGATGGCAAAACAGACTCAAAGGGGAGAATCATCCTGCCCAAGACCAGAGGGTGGGAAGCTGGGACTCACACCCTTGTCTCCCCACTGAATTCCAGCCTCTTTCTCCTTTATACAAGGCAGCCTATAGAAGTCTGTGGGGCCCATCCTGAGACACCTCATCTCCATCAGGACACTCAGAGCCAGCTCCTCCCCAGCCAGCAATGGGGGTACAGATGTCCTAGCCTCCCTATATCTCAGTGCAAAGCCAGATTACCTTGTGAAAGCTATTCCCTTAATAGCTTGGGTTATAGAAGAAAATCAAAGGTTATTTCATAGGCAGCCATATTGAACACTCACTGCTTTTCCATCATTACCAAAAATAACAAGTCCATTTTTGGTAATGAGACCAGGCTTCTTGGCACCTTTAATTTCCAGTGGTTCTCCAGAAGGCACAGAGCTATTCAGTAATGTCGACCCATAGAAAGTGACCATCTAGTAAAGAGATCAAACCCAGATTGTAAAATCAGGAGAAAAGCTGTTCACAGTGGTATGTACAAGCATCATTCCCTGCAAAAACACTGAAGTTCAGATTATCATCTGGAATAAAATTGAGACACCACAATGGGAGAAGCTCTCAAACATCTGTAGAAATGACACAATGCAAGAGACAGTCTGTGAATATGTCATTGGAGAGTTTCCAAAATGCCCCACATCCAGGTGACACGAGTATGCATTTAGCACATATTCACATTGATACCAAGGTGAATAAGATAAGAAAGCTCTCAGCCTTTATAGCCTGAAGGTAGGGTTTGGGTGGGTGGGGAGATGCTGGAGTGGGCATCAGTGAGGGGCAATGCAGAGTGATAACCAGACTATTACAGTGCAGGGTGATGAGTGATGAGAAGCACAGGGTGCTTTGTGAGTCCGTTCATGGAAACAGGACTGGATCCAGACTGTAACCAAGAGACACTGACACTGACTGATTTATTATTGCAATCCTAGGATGACAGCTATCATTTATGGAGCACTATTACGATTATGTCATAATGGTTTGTTGAATACCTACTCTAGGCCAGGGACTAAGTACTTAAATGAGTTAACATGTATTAAACTCTTTTTAAATTTGAGACAGTCTTGCTCTGTCGCCCGGGCTGGAGTACAGTGGTGCAGTCTCACTGCAATCTCCACCTCCCAGGTTCAAGTGATTCTCTTGTCTCAGCCTCCCAAGTAGCTGGGATTACATGCGCCCGCCACCACACCTGGCTAATTTTTTTTTTTTTTTTTTTTTTGTATTTTTAGTAGAGACAGGGTTTCACCATGTTGGCCAGGCTGGTCTTGAACTCCTGACCTTGGGTGATCCTCCCACCTCAACATCCCAAACTGCTGGGATTACAGCCATGGGCTACCGCACCCGGCCAACACATTTAATCTTCACAATTACCCTTAACCTAAGAGAGGTAGTATTATTAGTTCCATTTTACAATGAGGAAACTAAGGCACCCAATGGTTAAGTAACCTGCCCAAGGTTACACAGTAAATAGTGGGACAGCCAGAATCTTAATAGAAGCATTCTGGCTTCAGATCCTGCACTCTTTGTTGTTGTTTTGAGACAGAGTTTCACTCTGCTGCCCAGGCTGGAGTGCGGTGGCACGATCTCGGCTCACTGCAACTTCCACGTCCTGGGTTCAAGTGATTCTCCTGTCTCAGCCTCCCAAGTAGCTGGGATTACATGCGCCCGCCACCACACCTGGCTAATTTATGTAATTTTAGTAGAGACGGGGTTTCACCATGTTGGCCAGGCTGATCTCAAACTCCTGACATTGTGATCCACCCGCCTCAGCCTCCCAAAGTGCTGGGATTACAGGCATGAGCCACTGTGCCTGGCCCAGATCCTGCACTCTTAACCATTAAACTAAACTCCCTCCCTTGCTCCCCCATTGATCCCATGAATTTTTATTGGCATTTAGTATGTACCCAGAATCCTGTTTAACTGCTGAGATTATCAAGACAATCACATGAACCCCTTGCTCCTAAGGAGCTCACAGTCTAGTGTTGTGGGGGATGGATAAAGAGACCCTCACAATATATGATATGCCATACCAGAGGTAGATATAGAGTGTTGCTGGAACCCAGAGACGGGACATCCGACCCTGCCAGGCTGGACATGTGAGATCAGGAAGCCTCCTTGGAAGAGGTGAAACCTGACAGCCTGGGCTGAGTCAATTACCCATGGATAGAAGACCCATTAGGCCCCTGCTCACCTCTCTGGCCTCAGCTGTCCCCATGCTGTCCTCACAGTCCAGACCCTGGCTTCACTGAACTCCTTCTGCAAGTCCTTGAGTAGGTGCTGGAGTCTCTCATCTCTGGGGCTTCACCTATTTGTCTTACTCTCAACCTGGTTAACTCTTCTTGAAGTTCAAGCAAAGCAGTGACCTTTTCTTTCTTTTTTTTTGTTTTTGAGACGGAGTCTCGCTCTGTTGCCCAGGCTGGAGTGCAGTAGCGCGATCTCAGCTCACTGCAACCTCCACCTCCCGGGTCAAGCTATTCCCCTGCCTCAGCCTCCATAGTAGCTGGGACTACAGGTGCATAACACCACGCCCAGCTAATTTTTGTAATTTTAGTAGAGACAGGGTTTCACCATATTAGTCAGGCTGGTCTTGAACTCCTGACTTCAGGTGATCCGTCCACCTCAGCCTCCCAAAGTGCTGGGATTACAGGCATGAGCCACCGTGCCTGGCTGCAGTGAGTTTTTCTTTTTTTTTCTTTTTTTTGAGACGGAGTTTCGCTGTTGTTACCCAGGCTGGAGTGCAATGCCGCGATCTCGGTTCACCGAAACCTCCGCCTCCTGGGTTCAGGCAATTCTCCTGCCTCAGCCTCCTGAGTAGCTGGGATTACAGGCACGTGCCACCATGCCCAGCTAATTTTTTGTATTTTTAGTAGAGCCGGGGTTCCACCTTGTTGACCAGGATGGTCTTGATCTCTTGACCTCGTGATCCACCCACCTCGGCCTCCCAAAGTGCTGGGATTACAGGCTTGAGCCACCGTGCCCGGCGCAATGAGCTTTTCTAGGAAGGCTTTCCTAATATGCCTGAGTGTCAGCCTTCATGATAGCATTTATCTTACTGCACTGAGAGTGTTTATTTCTCTGCACTCCCCATAAAACTGCAGGCTTCTTGAGATCAAGGGCTGGATTTAAGGTCTGCTGCACAATAAATGCTCAATACATGCTGAGTAAAGAGGAGAGTGAATCACAGACAAGCCTCGTGACCAAGGAAGAACCATGGGAAGCCCAGATTTATCTGTAATTTACCTCCTACAAAGGTTATAATTGGGGTTGGAGGTTGAGGGGAGGTGGTCCCTAGAACATACCTGTCCATTTATCTCTGTCCAGGCTCCAGGGACTTTATCATGACCTCGAATCCAATTATGTAAAACTTCAGCAGACCAGTTCCAAGAAATCTAGGAGGGCACAAAACGCAGGCTGAGCTTCCTAGACTGTGAACCTCAATGGCAATAAAAAATGCTTCTTACCATCAGAGGGAGAAATGGGTATGTTATTGTGAAGTAAAGGAATTTTTACCTCCTAGTTTTATTTGGAGAAAGTATTTAGTCAGGTGGCTGATTTAGCAAAAGAGACTTTATTGAAGGATGATAGAAAGCAGAGGGTTATTTAAAGGGACAGTATGCTCTGTAAAGATGAAGTAGAGTGGGCTGTTGAGGGAAGTGGGCCAATAGCTGTTGGAGAGTTTTATGTTGGGTTTTTATTGGGTTGGATTTTTGTTTTTTAAGTCCCCACCTCTGTTAAGTCTCTGCCTCTTTTTTTTTTTTCTAGTTTGTTTGTGGTCTTAGTTCTCTGCTTTGTCTGCACCTAGATTTTGTCTCAGGTTACGGGCCCCTCCGTGTTATTAGCTGGTGTGTATGTGTGGGTTGGTGTTGGGTGTGAATATTACCTGATGGTTGCTTGTTTACTATCATCACCACAGGAAGGTTGTATGGTGGCCAAATCTATACCTATTGCAGCTGCGTATTTTTTTGGAATTTCTTTCTCTGCCCTAAGCTGTACTTACGGCTCCAGGTTTTTGTTTTTTGTTTTTTGAGGCAGGGGTCTCACTGTCTTGGCCAGGCTGGTCTTGAACTCCTGGCCTCAAGTGATCCTCCGTCCTCAGCCTCCCAAAAAGCTGGGATTACAGGCATGAGCCACCGCGCCCAGTGTGCCCAACATGCCAGGTTTTGTTTAAGGAATATCCCCTTTGCTCTTTTCATTAGCATGTAGCTAGCAATATTTTGACATTTTACTGAAGTGAAGGATTATTGAGCAGTCAGTCTTAAGAGGGGTTTCTGGGCATTTTTTGTTTGCTTGTTTGTTCATTTGCATAGTATCGCCTCTCCTTTTTGTGCACATTTGAGTAAGTGCCCACCCACTCCAGCATTAGGGATACTGTTAATATGCAAATTTAGGGTAGTCTCTCAGACGTGAGTCTTCCCAGGTTTTTTTTTTTCTTTAGGGGACTCCCCTCTCCTGCTTCTGTCTGGCTACCTGTCTACTGTAACAGGTAGGGCTAGGGCAGGCTGGCTTGCAGATCTACCTTTTGGCAAGATCGTAGTGTGTGGGAAACTACTGGAAGGTAGAGGGCCGTGAACTCTGAGATGTGTCATTGAGTTATTATAAATACCTCAGCATTCTCCTTTTTCTGGATACCTTCATATGTTGCCCCTTCTTCTGGCTGGGGAATACGAGGAGCTTTTCCATCGGCTATGCGTTGGACAGCTTCTACCTAAGGCCAAAGACGTCACCTGTGTTACAGCCCAGTGATCAACAATGGCATGGTATATTTGACTAAAATTTCTGCATAACAGAATTACTACCTATAAAGCTGTTCAGAGAGTCGGAGTATGATGATAACTACCATTTCTTCAGGTCCATCCTGATAAGCAGTCTGGTAGCTACTTTACGTAAAATATCCTTTGTAAATAGAACACAAATCCTGCAAGGTGGATATTGTTATTCCTGTTTCACACATGAGGAAACTGGCTTAGAAAAAGAGCTAAGCAATTGGCTCGAGATCACAGGGCGAGCTTGTAGGTGTCAGAAACAGGTTTTGGTCTATCTATTGCCAATTGAAGTCTGCCCTCTTAAAAATGGCTCCTTTGTTTAAACAAACTGCCACTTCTCTGGGTGATTCACTGGAAATGTTAGGAATACAATTATAAGTCTTTGTGGGTTATTTTACTCATCATGATGATTCCAAAAAATGACACCTTATTGTATTTAATAAATTCAACTTGCTTTCTAGTTTAGGAGACCTGGAATAAAAAAAGTTAAAATCTATCTATGAGTTTGATTGCCTTTGGGAAGTGTCATGCATTTTCTTCTCTGTCCTATTTATGTTTGCCTTGAGTCGACAGCCTCCTATTTTCACTGAGAGGCCTATGCGAGCTCAAGTTCTCAGATTTCTCTCTAAGGACTCACAGCTGTTGACCAAACCTCCCAAAAACACATGGAGGGAGCAGTAGAACAGAGCCAAGTTCACAGCTCAGTCCACCCACCTCCATCTAGGCTATAACTAGGTCTGGAATTTCAGCTTCAGCAAATGTCACTGAACACACATAACACTATATTGATTGTAGTGATAATTTTATGAGTAGCTACCATGGGCCAGATGCTTTACCCAAATAATGTCATTTAATTTTCACAACTGCCCTACAAGTCAGGTGGTATTATCCACACTATATACATGAAGAAACCAAAGCTAAAGAGGCTAAGTGACTTGCCTGTTGTCTTACACCAAAGAAGACGTAGAATGGAAATTTGAGCTTGGTTCGTTCTGACCTCAAAGCCCTACTTTCTTAATCATTAAATGATGCAAGCAAAGCACTGCTCTCCTCCCTCCTAAATCAGCGGCTACTACCGTATTCTCTCATACTAGCTCTGAAAAAAATTAAATGACATCAAAATTATCAGCTGAGGCTTTCAATATATTTACAGGCTAATATTTCAATATTTTTATTTGATGGTTTACATGTTTTGGGATTTTTTTGCCCCAGAGCACCTCTGAATAAATACAGTGACACCAAATTTCACCCTGTTACAGAGCCTAATTTGAAGTACTTTTACATTTCCATAACAAATTACATAGCAAAATGTCTTCAGATTCTGTATACTTGTTTACAATTAGTCATTGTAGGCCAGTTGAGGATTCAAGTATTCGGCAAAAGAAATGGAGCCATTTAAATGCTACTGTATCCATTGGATCACTGCTGTCAGAAGAACAAGTCAGTTTCTTAGACTAAGAAATTGAAAAGTTCAGATTTCAATCCTAAATGTACCATCCCGTTAGTTAAAAAAAAGAAAACCTAATTTTGTTTTGTTTGTTTTTGGAGATGAAGTCTTGCTCTGTCGCCCAGGCTGGAGTGCAGTGGCACGATCTTGGCTCACCACAACCTCCGCCTCCCGGATTCAAGCAATTCTCCTGCCTCAGCCTCCCGAGTAGCTGGGATTACAGGTGCCCGCCACTATGCCCAGCTAATTTTTTGTATTTTTAGTAGAGACGGGGTTTCACCATGTTGGCCAGGCTGGTCTTGAACTTCTGACCCCATGATTTACCAGCCTTGGCCTCCCTAAGTGCTGAGATTATAAGCGTGACCCCCCCCATGCTTGGCCTTGTTTTTAAATTTTATATTTTTAGTGAAAATTCATATGGTAATTTCTTAATAAAAGAAAAAATACTTTCAAAAATATTTAAAGGTTTACTAAATTCTGGATGGCAAAATATACTAACCATGGCCTTGATTCCTTCAGGAAAAAGAAACCTATTATAAAGTGTATCCACTGTATCATTGGGTTCAACATCACATGATCTCTGAAGAAGGATGGGTCCTGTATCCAAGCCATCATCAGCCCAGAAAACAGAAAACCCAGCTTTCTTATCTCCCATAATTAGAGTCCTGTGAAAAGAAGAATTTTAATTTAAAACGTTGCTTGACTATATCATAAAGTGATGAATTAGTGATATTAAAGTGTAAGGTAGTTATAATGGAAAAGTAGACAATGAATGAAACTGCCATGAGAAGCTAACAGTAGAACTGGGAGATGCAGCTCATAAAAAACACTGCCTACCGGTACTGCTATTTTATATAATACATCCTCATATCTTCAGTCTTTCTTGTTAATGTATAGTAATGACTTGCAGTGAATTCAAAAAGGCATTAGAGTCTATCGTTACCACCACTCACTGACTTTCTACTTCAGGATCAAGTAATTTTCCCACTTGGGTTCAATTCCTACATTGAACTTGACCCTGTATTAGCCAGAATAAGAACAGAAGATAAAATAGGATACTCTGTGGAATGTGAAGAACAGAACTGATTATTAATTCAAGTTGTGCTAATTAATTCAGGTGTAAGACTTATTTAGGACTAGAATTAGCTCTAGATTGTCTACATAAATTATAGTATAAGATGGCTGATTAATTCAACTATTTGTATTTTGTGCACTATGAACCTCAGCCTATGAGAAAAATGCTGGCCCCCCAGAAGCTTATAACACAAACAGTAAGCTATATCTGTGAATAAATACATCTAAAAGCATATCAGAGAGTAAGCTAATACAGAGAGAGTATGATGGTAAGTCAGCCATGCCCATGAGGTAAATAAATTCTGCTTCTGAGCTACAAATCAAGACCTAAATCAATCAATCAATCACTAACTCTTCAGAAATACTAAGAAATTAACTGGCTTTGTTATCAAGATTCTGAAAATATTGATATGCTTTGATCCAATGATGCTGCATGTGGGAACAGTGTAAAGTGAGAAAAAATACAAGTTTAAGTGCAAAGATATTTACTAAATAATAGTGTACTATGTATAAGAGCCAAAAAGAAGTCAAGTCATGTAATCAAAATTAAAATACAATTAATATTTTTCATCACATTTAAACCAAGTGTAGGCTTCCGGCTTATTCCAACAACTTGACACAGAGGAATATTAGAAAGACAGGCAGGTGAAGGAGAGAAGGCAGAAAGGGTCGGAAGGCCCACCTTAACCCACAGCATTGTGTCCCTTTGGTGTTAGGTACCCACAATTTACCAGCCACTGTTCTTGACACTGGAAAATTGCAATACAAATGTTAGGCAAAGTCCTCAAGAAGCCTGGAGTTGAATGGGGATGATAGACAATGAAGATGATCATTTCATCATTGCAAGTAATTACTTGATGATCATTTCAAGAATCAGTATTTCCTGAAATGTACTTGAGATGCTCTATGCAAAAAAACAATTTCTGTGGTCAAATAAGTTTGGGAACATTGCATATTCAGATTTCCTCTAGGGGATTTTGATACTGACATTAAAGCCCATATTAATAGCTCAAATGAATCCAGCAATTAAAAATCCAGCACAAACTAAACTTACTGATCATAAAACCTTTGTTTGCTTAATACCTAGTAACAGTCAATGAATGGAGCTAGTACTCCATAGGCTATTCTTGGGAAATACTGTCCTGCTTCACGCCGTATGTCTAGATCTCAGGGGAGTTCATGCAATAGTAGTAACCAATCAGGACCTCACAGTTGTTCAAGCATGCCTATTTCTTGATTGCCTAGGTAAAAAACAGGTAGGCAATGGAAATAGACTCATCCTCTCGTAATTAAAAAAGTCTCACTGGGTGTTCTGACACACTCTTGAAATCTCAGCTACGTTGCAGGAGGATCATTTGAGGTCAGGAGTTTGAACGTAGACTGGACAACATAGCAAGACCTCATCTCAAAAAAAAAAAAGTAAAAAAAGAAAAGCTCACCAGTTGATAGCAGAGGCTCCTCTGTGCCTGGGCAGGATGGATGGGTGATAGATGATAGAGCCATGCTTTGGACTATCAATTATATCCATGGGGATGAACTGAGTGCAGAAAGGGAGCACATTCAGCTCTGCACCCACAGATCTGTAGGCCTCCGCCACCTCTTTGATGGTCTTGCCCTTGACTCTCCATTTAGGGAACTTGAACACAGGGGTTCCATCTTTCTCTGCAACCAAAGCTGAGCATAAAAAAGAAGATTTTCTTTTACAAGTTAGCCATAATTTTATATTGCTATGAATTCACATATTGTAATTTTATAGTTTCATGAAATATTTACAAATAAAACATTATGAAGAACGATTTAGATTGTGACTAGAACTTCACCTGTTGCAATTATATCACACCAAGGTGATATTTATCTATATACTTAAGGCATAATAAATTATAACTGAAAAGTTTTTGGCTAGATGATATTTTAAGATTTTGGTGAAAGCTTTTTCTTTTTTAGATTGAAATGGTACCTTTATTGCTGATACAACCTTTTAAGAACATAGCTTTAGATTTGGAGCCAAATGCCAATACTTTACCCACCAATTTAACATATCCACCCCTGGCACAATTAGAAAGCCAAGAATCTCTCCCCTCCTTGTGCAGAATAAACTGTAGACCAGTACACATTCTCCCTGCCAACCAGGTCGATCCTGAAAGATGAAGAGCACAAGTGCTGAGCTGAACTTTTCTACTGCCTTCTCCCAAATTCACCAAACAAATAAGTTAAGGAAGGTGAGAGGCCAAGAATGTAGAGTACATGCTCAGCTCCCACTATGGGTTTTGCCCTGAACAGACCAAGGTCTCCTTCCTGAGAAGAGTGCTGTCCTCTCCCACACAAATAGCTCTATCCTAATCCCATATGAAAATGGAACGGTCCACCAAAGTGCAAACAGCACAAGCCTATTTATTCCATAATGAAATGTCATTTTTACTATGTGCCTTATACCTTAAGTATCTGTATACATATATATATATATATGTCTTTAAGTATACAGTTTTATATATAAGTAGTATATATTTTAAAAACCAGTCAGGCACAGGGGCTCACATCTGTAATCCCAGCACTTTGAGAGCCACGGGAGGAGGATTGCTTGAACCCAGGAGTTCAAGACCAGCCTGGACAACATAATGAGACCCCTGTCTCTACCAAAAAAAATTTATTTTTAATTTAGCTGTGTGTGGTGGCACATACCTATAGTCCTAGCTACTTAGGAGGATCTCTTGAGCCCAGGAGTTCCAGGTTGCAGTAAGCCATGATCACGCCATTGCACTCCAGCCTGGGCAATGAAGTAAGACCCTGTCTCTAAAAATTTTTTTCAGTATATATATATATATATATATATACTGTCATCAATGCTTCCTTATATATATATATACTATTATTAATACATAATGGTATATATTACAGAAATGATAGTGTATATTATATTATATGTTTTATAATATAGTAATATATATTACTTTTATAATGTAATAGTATATATATATGTATTTAATATATAATAGCATATATGTTAATTTTAGGCAATTTCCAGAAGTCTTTAACTGAAGCTTTTCATCTGCATTTTTGTGTCACTTTCCTTTCTCCTAGATCTGAACAACAAAATTCATTGACTCAGGGTGAGATGATGCCTCCACCGTAAAACCTAAATGCTGGCAGGAAGTCCTGAAGGACCCCAAACATCAGGATTCAGCACAATAATGTTCACGAAACGTGAATGTTCATAAGATGTTCAAAAAACTTAACTCACATATCAGATGACAGGAAAATGGATAAATGGTGATTAAAAAATGTGATCATGGGAGAATATTGTGAAAGATCATATGGCAAAGAAAAACGGGTGGAGGAAACTTAGAAATCTTCATTGTAAAAAATGTACTCCACTGGGACGGGCTGAGACATCCAAGTGTTGGGCTTCCGTTTCAGTTTTTGGCTGTCCTAGTTGACTATTCTCACAGGAACAGTCAGCTACTGTCATCAATGCTTCCTTATTATGAGCCAGGCATAGCTTGAGCACTTTGTGTACAGTAATCTAATTTAATCCTCATAGCAGCCACAAGAGGCAGCTACCATTGAACTGAGGCTTAGTAAGATTAACAACTTGCCCAAGGTCACACAGCTGGTAAATAGCAGAGTCAGAATTCGTTCCTTGATTCCAGAACCTATGCTGTTAACCACATGCTGTATCACTTTCTATAGGTGACTCTATAAGTGAGGTTGGTAGTTTTTCTATTTCTGAGTTATGCCATGAGCCCAATGGCCATGACCAAAGGAAAGGGAGTCCTGACCCTGGGACCAGGCACCAGGGAAGAGTCAATTTCCCAGGATTCATTCTGAAAGGTCTAAAAGTTATATGCTTGCAATGTTTCTGAAGTTCATGTATATTGCAGAGACGCTACTTATCCCGCTTCAGCCTTTGGCAATGAATTTCCCTAGTTTAGCTGAACACATAACCACCCCAAATCAAATCTATATTTCTCAGCCACTCCTCAAATGGATTTTGCCTGTGACTAAGTTCTTGCCAATGGGATACAAGTGGGAGGAATACGTGCAACTCTGGGTTACACCTTTAATAAAAAGCTTTCCCCCCGCTTCCCACTCTTTTCCTTCCTGCTTGCTGGAATGCAGACGTGATAGTATGGGCTGAGGCAGCTGCCCTGGACCATGAGATGAAAGCCCAGCATTGGTAAGGGTAAAACAACAAGTAGAAGGAGCATGTATTGTGTATGCAGAGTTGCCACACCAGCTGATGGCCAGCCCAGACCTGAGAATTCTTGACCCAGTCATCCCAAGATGTACTCACCCAGAGGGTCAGCTTTTCCATCCTTGTCTGGAACTGTGAACACCCCTACTACTCGGTGGCCCTCTTTGCGGAGGTGGCTATAGACTTCTTGTCCAAAGAGGCTCTGGCCAATGAGTGCCAATTTCAGCTTGTTTTTGAAATAAACCTATGAAACAATTCAATGATGAAGACATAAGCTTGGATAGAAGACATTGGATGAGGGTGAGGGTTGAAAAGTTAGCTATTGGGTACAATGTTCACTCATCGGGTATCAGGTACACTAAAAGCCCAGACTTCATCACTGCACAATATATGCATGTAAGAAACCTGCTCTTGGCTGGGCGTGGTGGTTCACACCTATAATCCCAGCACTTTGGGAGGCTCAGGTGGGTGGATCACCTGAGGTCAGGAGTTCAAATCCAGCCTGGCCAACATGTGGAAACCCTGTCTTCACTAAAAATATAAAAATTAGCTGAGTGTGCTAGTGCACACCTGTAATCCCAGCTACGAAGGAAGGAAGGAAGGCAGGAAGGAAATCTGCCCCTGTAGAAAGAAAGAAAGGGAGAGAGAGAGAGAGAGAGAGAGAGAGAAAGAGAAAGAAAGAAAAGGGAAGGAGGGAGGGAAGGAGGGAGGGAAGGAAGGAAGGAAATCTGCCCTTGTATTAAGAAAGAAAGGAAAGGAAAAAAAGAAGAAAGAAAAAAAGAAAAGAAATCTGCCCTTGTATTCCTAAATATATAAATGTAAAATTTTCATAATTTATAAAAAGAAAAAAAATTGTTTAAGTACATTGGATAATAAACTTTTCCTTTCAGTCATACTGAAAAAAAGATGACTTGAGGATGAAAGCTCAAAGATCTACAAAATAAAATTGTTATTGATGTACACTGAACACAGGCTACATTACATATGGCTAGTAATAAAAATCATATCACACCTAAGTATCGCTTATCTTCCCTTTGCCCTAATTTCCTTGACTATTCACTTAATCATAGAGAGTGCATGTATTTTAATAAGCCATTTCAGCTCCTTGGAGAAATAAGGCCACATGTAAACAAGTAAGTGTGCCGAAGTTAAAAGGAGTTCAATTCTGAGCAGGATCTACCTCAGTGTGACAATGCTTTTATTACTCTGTAATACAGAAATAACTAGACTTATCTTTGATCTCCCAAAGAGGCCAAGAGCTAACATTTAGTGTTAATATAACACAGAGGTTAAGAGCACAGCCTCAGAGCTAGGATGCCTGAGGTCAAAACCTCTTGCTCCCACTTAGTTGTGTGGCCGTAAGCAAGGAACTAACTCTATTTGCCTTTTGGTTTTTGTATTTGCTTTTAGAGATCTTGCTCTGTTGCCCAGGCTGAAGTGCAGTGGCACAATCACAGCTCACTGCACCGTTGAACTCCTGGGCTCAAGTGATTCCCCAACCTCAGCCTCCTGAGTAGCTGGGAATACAGGTGCATATCACCACTCCTGGCTGAATTTTTAAATTTTTTTGTAGACATGAGGTCTTGCCCAGGTTGGTCTCGAACTTGCAGCCTCAAACCATCCTCTTACCTTGGCCTCCCAAAGTACTGGGATTATAGGTGTGAGATGTTGCCCATCTATTCGCCTTTTCTACCTCTCATCTATAAAATGGGAATGATAATAATACCAATATCATCATCGTATAACTGTTTTCTTTTCTTTCTTTCTTTTTTGGTTGAGACAGTCTTGCTTTATCATCCAGGCTGGAGTGCAGTGGCACGAACACAGCTCATTGCAGCCTCAAGCTCCTGGGCTCAAACAATCCTCGTGCTTCAGCCTCCTGAGTAGCTGGGACCACAGGTGCACACCACTATGCCTGGCTAATTTTTAAAATTGTTTTGTAAAGATATGGTCTGAGCATGTTGCCCAGGCTGGTCTTGAACCCTTGGGTTCAGTGTTCCTCCGTCCTTGGCTTCCCAAAGTGCTGAGATTACAGGCATGAGCCACCACATCTGGCCCTCATACAATTTTTATTGATGTAAACATCAGGTGTTGTACGGTATGTGCCATAAAGTACTGTCTAAGTAGAAGCTTTAATAATTTTTAAAGGTCTTGCAATATACTAGACTCTATTATATGTTTTCTCATACAGTTCAGAATTTAAAAATCTTTGTTAAGTGGCCCAAACTCATTTGGCCTCAAGACCTGGCTTGATCTAATGTAATGCTCTCTGTAGTCCTTACAGGTTTTTTATAAATTTGACACAAACTCAATTAGCTTCAAACCCAGCCTGAACTGATGTCATGCTGTTTATAGTCTTTATTTACAATATTTATAAACACCATATGAATAGTTACATGTTTGCTGCAGAAAAATCAATGTTTTTTTTATGGTACTGCCCCAGAGCCTGCTGGAAATTTTGTGTAATGTCCCATGTACCATATTAACTTTCTAAATTGTAAATAATTCTGAACTTTAAAACATATTTGCCCCCAAGTTTTTAGCTAAGGGATCAAGGCCTGCATATCATTTCAGTTCATTTACTCTTCACATCTTTGCTCTTTTATTAACCCCCATTTTGCACCATTTTATGGATGAAGAAACTGAGGCTTAGAAATGTTAAGTGTATCCACTACTAGAAATGAGGAGAACCTGGAACGTAAATCCAGGTCTGTCTGACATCAAAGCCTATGTACATACCTAAAAATAAATTAGGCTGGGCATGTAAGTAGGATTACAACCGTAATCCCAGCACTTTGGGAGGCCAAGATGGAAGGATTGATTGAGGCCAGGAGTTCAAGCCCAGCCTGAGCACCATAGCAAGACCCACCCTCGGCCCCTGCCCACCCCCGCCCAGCCTCATCTCTACAGAAATTTAAAAATTAGCCAGGAGTGGTGTCATGTGCCTGTAGTCCCAGCTATTCCTACTTGGGAGGCTGAGGCAACAGAATCGCTTGATTCCAGAAGTTCAAGGCTGCAGTGAACCATGATTGAGCCACTGCACTCCAGCCTGGGCCACCTAGTAAGACCCTGTCTCTAAAACAAACATTAATTAAAAATAAAATACTTAACATAAACTACAACTACCCATTTCTTCCACCTTATTTATTAATTAACCCTGATACACAAAATACAGTGGTTACCAGGAAACATAAACACCATGTAGATAAGAGTGGCACTAAAGAATTTCCAGTTTTAAGAATGTCTTTGATCAATTACATCTTCTACAAATTCTCCCAAAATGGAGTCTTCACAATGCTTAAGTTCATACGTGGACATGATCATTGTAAGATGATGATGAAGAACCATCATGTACAGTAAAGTAGATGCAGGACTGTGGATTAAGAGAGGGTAATTAGAGGGTCATGACTTCCTACGAGCTTCGTTTCTTGGCAATGCCTCCCCAGAACTCTCTCTACCTTACATTCTTTCATGTTCGAATATGGCTCCACAGGATCTGAACTTAGAATGTCTATTCCCCTCCAATCTAAATGGGATTCTCTAATGTTCTGGAAAGTAATTCTAAATTAGTAAAGCCTCATTGAGAAAATCTTTACAAAGAAACTTAATTTTCCCTTATTTCCCACTTCATTAGAGGCATACATAACATCCTGTTTTTAGGCATGAACTTAAAAGGATATCAGATCACAACTTCTCTGCAATTGAGCTGATGATAAAGCACAGTTTTAACTAATTTAATTTAAAGCAATCCTTTTCTAGGGTCAGCCAAAGTTTCTATCCCCAAAGAACCTAATTAAGCTTCAACAAATACTTGCAAGCAAACAGATTAACTCTGTAACAACAGCAAATTCACCTGCAGATAATGCATGGCTGACCATTTAATTTCCTCTCCTCAAAAAAATCAAAATATTCTCTCTATTACGTTCAAACTCTGTAACTAATCCTGATGCTTGAAATAGAATTGACATGTTGGCCACCTTACAAAAATTTTGGCTTTACCACACACCATTACCAATGCCAGATATTTAAGACATCTAAAATACTACTTTTAGAACACATAAGAGCCAAAAGACTGAGATGACTCAAATGTAATGCGCCACTCAGCTCAGCTGTCGTCTGGTTATTTGGAGTTCAATTCTAGATTCAGTCCTATCTGAGAAAGACAACATTTAAAGGAACCATGTCGGTCAGGCATGGGCATGGTAGCTCACGCCTGTAATCCCAGCATTTTGGGAAGCCGAGGTGGGGAGGGGGCGGATCACCTGTGGTCAGGAGTTCAAGACCAGCCTGAACAACCCGGAGAACCCTCGTCTCTACTAAAAATACAAAAAATTAGCCAGGTGTGGTGGCAAGTGCTTGTAATTCCAGCTACTTCGTAGGCTGAGGTAGAAGAATCGCTTGAATCCAGGAGGCAGAGATTTCAGTGAGCTGAGATCGCACCATTGCACTCCAGCCTGGGCAACAAGAACAAAACTCTGTCTCAAAACAAAACAAAAGAAACCATGTCAGTATCTTTGGAAACACCACATCCATTGAAACACTTTCTGGGCTTTATGCTAAAGCTATAAAGGGGAGTTTCTAACTCTGAGAAGTTTTCAGATTTTATAACTTGTTTATAATAAGTTAGCAAGATTCCAGAAACCTGGACGGAGATGTTTTACTCTATTTAGAGACAGGGTTTCACTCCATGGTCACCCAGGCTGGAAAGCAGTGGCGTGATCTCGGCTCACTGCAGCCTCCGCCTCCCGGGTTCAAGAGAATCTCGTGCCTCAGCCCCTTGAGTAGCTGGGATTACAGGCGTGCACCACCAGGCCCAGCTAATTTTTGTATTTTTAGTAGCAATGGAATTTCACTATGTTATCCAGGATGGTCTCGAACTCCTGACCTCAGGTGATCTACCTGCCTTGGCCTCCCAAAGTGCTGAGATTATAGGCTATTTTACTTCAGTCTTATTTCTCTAGGTGTGATCTGAGGACTGCCTGCCTGTGTTGGCAGAAGTAACTGAGAGAATATGTTTAAAATGTGGATTTCTGGGTCCCACTTCAGATCTGTTGAGTCAGAATCTTAAGCCCAGGAAGCTACACTAACAAACTCTTCAGTGACTCATAAGTACACAGAAGTCTGAGAATCTCTGCTCTGTGGAGAGTGATATATCTGCACATCCAGCTAACTTTTTTGGTATTTTAGTAGAGACAGGGTTTCACTGGGTTGCCCAGCCTCGTCTTGAACTCCTGAGCTCAGGCA